TTTTGATTTTTTTGGGGTCAAAATCCAAAAAATTCGAAAAACCGAAATAGCAGTTTTGTAGCCCTTTTAATTCCACACCTTTTATGTCTGAAACATTTTTCTGTATCTCTAAAGCTGTAGGCCTGACAGCTCTTCCCGCGAAACCTTTTTTTGGGTCGAAAATGGCAAAAATGACGTCACTCTGACGTCATTAGCGGCCAGCCTATCATAGCCTTTGGAAAAATTTTGGTCACCATGTGCGCTAGCTGCTCCCGGGAGGGTACTGAAAGTTTGGTGACGATCGGCGCAGCGGTTCTCGAGATATATCGAAAAAACTAAGGGGGGGGGGCAAAAAATGCCCCCCCCACCGCCTGGAAGGTTATGGATGTGCGACACAGCATCATCTCAGTGTCTGGGAGCGAGACGTTCAACACAAATGGCTCCTGTCAGATACAAAATATGCTGCTCACCTTGAACTACCATGTGTCCGTGTTCGAGGTATGCAGGTATTCAGGCGGAGTTGAGCAGCACACACCTGTGTGAGCTCTCAAGTTGGTAAATAAATGGCGACATTTTGTCACCCATGTCTTTCTCTTGCAATGTATTGAGATATACCGCGACTGCAGCGAGGGTGGACGTAAATAATATCTGCCACACCGGCATGTCGCCACTCGGTCCCGTAACAGATGTTTGTCACAGTACACCACAGCCAGGTCACACTCTCCTATAGGTCGTCGGTCGGTTAAATGGGTCATGAAGCAGGGAATTCTAATAATGTGAGTTAGGTGTTCGGTAAGCTCAATTTAATGCCTAGATTATATAAGTTAAATACCACATTTAACTTTTTACTCATGGCGTATGGCGTTTATAGAACTTATGGAGCCGGAGGTGTACTATACGCTATAACTTACAAAAGCTATCTAAGCGACTTCATTTGAAAAGGTTATGGATCATTTCATATGCAATGGACACATTTAGTTCTACCGTATAACATCGTCATTAAAAATTTGCCAACATCAGGAAAATGAGGACGACTGCACGAGCCCTCTTAAACTGAATCTCTTAAGCTTGGAGCCAGAAATATGGCCATATTTATTTCCTTGAATTTCTTTCCACTTCATGTGCACACTGTAACCATCAACCAGCAGTCAACATTGCAAACACAGGTATCCTGCAGCTTACGCTAGTCGTTCGACCACAGCATGTGCGCGCTCTAACGCTTAGCACCGTCTGCCGGTGGCTGATGGGCACTGACTGAAATGACCAGGCGCCGGGGCAGCCACCAGCAACGTCCAGACGCGCTCTGTAATGTTTGCCCGCCGAATGAGTTTCACTGCCGGCAACACGAGCGCCCGCGCTGTGACTCTTAACCAAATCACTGTTATTGTGCACCGTAGCGACCGCATAACATGAATCTGACATGTCGTTTGGCCCCAGGCATTAGGGGGGGGGGGGGTGCTTTATTATAGGCCACGCCGCCTACGCATAACGGCAGCGGATTGTGAATATGCATGAGCTGCAAAACGACACTGAAAAATGAGCACTGTTTCTAAATGTAATGATAAAACAATAGGTACTAATTTAGCACAGCGCACTGTTCATCTTATTTTTAGGATTATTTTTAGGAGTTAGGACCTATGCCTATTCAGAAACACTTATGGCTGATCCATCTATGAATCCAACCAAAGGATTCGTTCTGAAATAGACTTTTGAATTCTCCTTTAACCCACGAGCCGCTGGGGGGGGGGGGGGGCATAAAGTTGCCCCCCCTTCACGTTTTGTGGAATATCTCCGAAACCTGATGAGTTACGAACGTGAAACTTGGCATAGCTTCAAGTGAATACCTACGCAATATTTGTGAAAAGTTTGGTGGTTGTAGCACTTAAGATGACGTCACAGTGACGTCATAAAGTTTTGTCGTTTTCCGATATGGACCGTTTCTGATGTCGCTGAGCATGAAACTCAACTGTAAATGAACTAGAAAGCACCTGCTGTCATTCTCACTGGCGGATCCAGACTTGCGTTTTGGGGGGGGCCAACTCATGCAGGAGCCAAACCTAGGGTACCCCCAAATCCTGTTTTCTCATCGGATTTAGGCCACTTATTTTTCGTCACAGCCCTGACACTATGAATATTTTTTTTTAACTAAAAATAAAAATATATAAATGGTAGCCCACCCGACCCATGCCTTTATATTACTTTGTAAACACTTACTATTGCTTTTGTCGACCAGTTAACCCGCTTCGAGTCAGTGCTTGGGTCCCTTTGCGGGCCGGGAGGTGGTAAAACGGGAGGTGGTCTAACTCGGCTCCTGGGCCAGGCACTGATTGAACTGTGCTTCATTATCGCTTGGGGGAGGGGGCAAACGGGCCACTTTAGGCCTCTGGGAAGGGGGCATGGCCCTAAATGCCCCCTCCCTGGATCCGCCAGTGTAAGAGACCATTGGAGCTGCAGTTGAGTACCTCAGACGTCAGGGTACGTCCTCAGATGTATAGGACTCGCATGGAGACTTCTTATGCTATAGTGGACTGAAAGGACCCAAAGGAGCCTGTCTAGGGCTCCCGGAGATAGACGTGGGCCCTCAGGAGCCCGCCAGAGCCCCCAATGAGGGATAAGTGAGGGATACCAAGTGCCTGCAATTGCATATTGCATAAGCCATAACGCCATTACAAATCAATATAATATGTACCAGTGGCAGATCCAAGGGGGGCCACATGGGTCATGACCCCCCTTGGTACCCGGGGGCACCACAGGCCTGTCAGGGGCACCACCGGCCTAGCATGGGCACTACCAGCCCGCCAGGGGCACCACAGGCCTAACAAGGGCACCACGGGCCTGTGAGGGGCCCCACAGGCTAGGCTTGTCAGGGGCACCCCAGGTCTGTCAGGGACACCAGAGACCTGCCAGGGGCGCCGCCGGCCTCGCAGGGGCACCATGGGCCTGTCAGGGGCACCAGAGGCCTAGCAGGTGTACCACAGGCCTTACAGGGGCACATTGGGCCTGTCAGGGGCACCACAGTCCTGTCAGGGCCCAGGGGCACCAGCGGCCTAGCAGGGGCACCACAGGCCTGCCAGGCCGCCAGGGGCACCACCGGTCTAGCAGGGGCACCACCTTCCTCGCAGGGGCACCATGGGCCTGTCAGGGGCCCCACCGACCTCGCAGGGGCACCACCGGCCTCGCAGGCATCACGGCATCACGCAGGGGCACCTTGGACCTGTCGGGGGCATCACGGGCCTGTTCGGGCACTTTAGGCTTGTCAGGGGCACCACAGTCCTGTCAGGTCCCAGGGGCATCAGCAGCCTAGCAGGGGCACCCTAGGCCCGCCAGAGGCACCACAGGCCTGCCAGGGTCCAGGGGCACCACAGACCTACCAAGGGCACCACGGGTCTGTCAGGGGCACCTCAGGCTCCCGTGCCCCCCCCCCCCCCCGGATCCGCCAGTGATGCCACACCACGCGAAACACCGCCAACTCCCAGCTACCGCGCCATAAACACGTGCCAACAAGTCTTTTTTGAAGGTCGACTCCACTCGCGCAACTTTTGACTGACCCTCACTGCTACCATATTGCTTCCATATTATGCTGTGGAAAGCTTTACTTCTCCAAGTGGCAAGTGGCTAAAAACCTCCATCAAGGTATATTTTCTTAGCAATTTTTCTTACGTTTTGGGGGGGGGGCAAACAGGCCACTTTAGGCCTTGGGGGGGGGGGGGGCCATGGCCCCCGTGGCCCCCCCCTGGATCCGCCAGTGGTCATTCTAAAACATCTAAGTACACTTCCATCTAGTTCCTGACCAATAATCGGCCCTTTATATTCGGTCCCATGTATCTGGTATATCATGAGGAAACTGCGAGTCGCAAATCTATAATTTGACTTATGACGTCACTGTGACGTCATTTCAAATCAGATCGACACCAAATTTAGACACAACCTCGGCTAGGTATTCAGGAAAGTGTGTGCAAAGTTTCGCTTCTCTATCTCTTCGCGTTGCGACGATATCGTCGCAGAAGTAAAGGGGGGGGGGCAACTATATGCCCCCCCCCCCCAGCGGCCGGCGGGTGGCGCGGAGGCCCAGCGGCCGCCGGGTTAAAATATCTTTTAAAATATTCTAAAATGTAGATGTGGTAATCAGTAAATATACTGGACCTTACTACTCCATAGCGCACATTCTGCCACACGATACAACCTTTCTCTCTCAACATTAGTTAACTTTAAATATAAAAATAAGTAGGTTTAGGTACCTAAATCACCAATGTATAGGAGCTCGTAACCAATGCACTTTAATCACACAATGTACAACAAACGTACAATGCACTTTACGAGACACTATTCCCAGGTATCAAAGCGTTTTTATTCAATACTTAGTGAGGCTTCAACTCTCTTCGGGCTTTCTTCTCATGCGGTGGAATAGATCTCGAGTCGCGATACGATCCGGTCTGGGTAGACTGCACCGCACGACATCGGTGCACGCCGGGCGGCCTACGAGCCAGGCGGCGGCTGAGGCCCTAAGACTACCCGATATAAGAAATAGACCGCAAACGCCGAGCGGCGCAGGCCTGAAGCCACTCTGGCACTCTCCGCTGTCCATGGCTCATATTTATCACCAGCAATATGCTTTCAGCTCAGCATTAGGTAATTGAATTTGCATAAAAAGGGACTGTTGTCTGTCTGTTCCCAGACAATATTAGTAACAAGGCAACACGACAGTCTCGCGGCTGAGGCAAGTCATCAGTCATCACAACCCAATCAACAGGTCTAAAAGCCAGTGACGAACCTGTCAAGACCAAGTGTCAGTGTGCTTTATCACTGGCTGATCCACACACTTTCGAATCAGATCAGATCAAAGACACTCCCCGCCACAAGTGGCAGGGCAGCCGCGGTGCCATACCGTGCATGTGCCGGTAGCCACATGAACAAATATTCGTAGATTCACTGATTATCCGGCCCGTCGCCTTTTCTGTCGGCTGTGCGCGTTATCTGTCACATGTGCCGTTTCTGATCCGCCCTCTGTCTGGTTTGTACAGGTGTCGGCGGCCCGGCCGGCCGGCCGAGGTTCCTCTCGCTGGACCCGGGCGACGTGTACGAGGCTTTCGACGGCCAGCGCTCCGGTCTGCTGAAACCCAGCCAGCTGGCGCACCGGCGCGCCGCGGCGCCCGCCAGGAGACCGTCGCCGCCGCCCGACTACCGGCCCACCGACTGGGCCGGACTCACCAAGAAGGCGTTCCTGTGGTCGCGGTTCAGCGACGAGGACCGCCGGCTGGTGCTGCAGACTCCGCGCGGCCGGCGCCGCAGCGTGCCCGCCGCCGAGACCCGGCACAGAGCAGACACGTTCGAGGCCGCCTTCCACAAGTTCCAGGAGCTGGGGTGTGCGCGCCCGGCGCGCGGCCGCGGCCGGCCGGCCGGCAGTCGGCCGCCGCCGCCGGCGCTGGTACCCATCTGGCTGTCGGGAGGTCTGAGCGGAGCCGTGCGCTGGCCCGGCTCCGGCGAGAGCAGGACCTCGTCCAGCGGCACCCCCGAGGGCAGCCCGCCGCTGCGCGCCGCCGCCGGCACTCCGGACCGGCGCTCGGTGCGCAGCGATGGCTCCGGCTCCGGCTCCGGCTGCGGCTCCGGGTCGGACCTCGTGTTTCCGGCCGAGTCCCCGGACCGGGCGGCCCACCGGCGGCTGTCGTCGCCCGGTCCCCTGGCGCGGGTCTGTCTGGTGCCGACCGGCCCGGGATCCCACCAGGAGTCGGGCAGCGCGGCGGCGGTGGCCGTCAGCCCGGCGGCGCCGCGGCCGGCCTCCATGCCGCCCCACCTGCCGGTCAGCAGCGCGCTGCGACACAGCGGCGCTGACGCGGCTCAGAGGAATGCAGAGCACGCCACTCGGCCGGCTGCAGCAGACACCGAGCGGCGCGGGGAGGCCGGCGCGTCATCAAGCGGGGAGCGGCGGGCGACGGCTGATCGGGGGAGCGATCAGCGAGTATGCACACCGATGCCAGAGTTGCACCCGATACGACCTCAGCCTGCGCCACGGACCGTGAAGGAAAGTTTGAACCAACCAGCAGTTCCCCAGCCCTCCAGCCCGGCGCGACTCAACAATGGAGACATCGAGATCGGTCTGGAGAGTGACGAGCGGCCGTCGGCCGGAGAGGAGTCAGACGGCAGAGCAGAGGACTCCGCTGCTGAGGAGGACAAACACGGAGATGAGCCTACCGGCGAGGAGGGAGGAACGGGCGCCGAGGGCGACCGGCCGCCGCCGCCGCCCCGGCGCCGCGTCCAGGTGGAGCGGCACAACAGCGAGGTGCACCTGCGACTGAGCCGGTCCAGCGAGCAGATGATCCGACAGCTGGAGCGAATCCAGTACGAACCCGGTCAGACAGACGAGGACGGCGTGGAACTGAAGAAGAAGAAGCCGAAGAGCTTCCGCAGGAAGTTGAAGGAGGTGTTGCGGCGAGCCAAGGAGGACGAGGCGCTGCTGCAGGACTTCACCGAGTACCTGGTGGTCGTGCGGCCCGACAAGATGATCCTGAAAAGGGTTGGGGAGGTGTCGAAGGAGGAGCCGCCGCTGATGACGAGGGCGGCGCGGGGCCGCGGCGGCCGCCACCCGGGCCAGAGGCGGCCGCACACCACCTCAGTCGGTCCGGACGACGTGTTCTCTCCGCGGCGAACTGCTGACGACGGGCGGGGCGTCACCCCTCCACCCAGCTCCTGGTGCCACCCAGACGAGGAGGTGCCCTTCTCACCGCGCTACGGAGCGGACGGCTCCCCGGCATCGACGGCGTCCAAAGGCGAGCCATCTGAGGGCGGGTCACCGCCGCCCCGCGAGTCGCTGGTGGATTTCATCAGCCGCTACAGCCAGCGGCCGCGGCTGGAGGCACGGCGCCGCTGTCGGCAGCCGCCGCCCGCCCAGACCGTCACCGACACGGGAACGGAGGGGAGCACGACCCTCCCTCCGCCGGCTCCGCCGGGTCCTGGTCAGTCACACTCTGACAATCTCCCGGCGCAGACTGATGTACCAGCCTGCGGCAATGAGACGACCCAGAGCGGCGGGAGGGACAAATGTCACCCCAGCGCCGAGTGCACGGACCGGGACGGGGAGCGGACGCCGCCGCCGCCGCCGCCGCCGCCGCCCACCTCCAGCCCGGTGCAGTCACCCGACTCGACCCAGGCGGGGGAGCGGCCGGCCGCAGGCGGATATGACGTCAGTCGGTATACAGAGAGCATCACACCACCGGCGCAGGCCGAGGATGGGGACGACCGTACGGCAGACGACGGGACACAGGCGCCGTCTGGAGCTGATGAGAAAACCCAGCGAGATGGAGGCTCTTCAGAGCCGAACCATCCCCAGACAGAGGCCAAAACACAATGTCCTGTATCTGAGACGAACCGAGATGGTCCTCTACCGGCGCCACCGTCGGCCGCCGGGCAGACACAAGTCGAGGCTCCTCCCGTCCGGCCGCCCGCACAGGCAGGTGAGCCGCTGGGAGCCCCGCTGAGCCCTCCAAACATCACAATCACCCGCGTCAGCCGGCCGGCGCGCCCGCCGTCCTCCCCGCCCTCTGAGGCGGCTCGGCAGGCGCTGAAGCGGCCCGGCGCCCCCGGACAGACGCTGCCACTGAAGAAGCGGCGTCTGGAGACTGCTGAGCAGAAGGCACAGCGCTGCCGGCTGCTGGAGGCGGCGAGCGACCCGCAGACGGAACAGCCGCCGCGGCGCGCCCACCACCTGGACATGGCGCTCGTGAAGGGGTATGAGTTCCTGTTCCAGCCGCCGAGCGAGGAGCACGCCATTACCAGGATCCTGAACCCGTCCTTCGAGCCGTCACTGGCCATGGCGGCGCCGCCCCCGCCCGGAGATAGACAGAGGCATCCGACACAGGCGCGTCAGCAGCCGCCGGGGCAGCACCCGCATCCACAGCAATACCAACATCAGCAGCCACCTATCCATCAGCCGCAGCCGCACCTGGTAAACCACCACCACCATCCGCAGCCGCCCCTGCCGCAGCCGCAGCCGACCCGCCCTCAGAGAGCGCAGCCCGGCGGTCAGCAGCCGCGCGGTAAGAAGGGCGGCTCGGGACCGGCGGGGAGCCCGGGCGCGGCGGCCGTCCGCCACCCGGTCGGAACGCGGCGAGTGCCGCTGCCGGCGCCGCCGCTGGCCGCTCCGTACCCGGCGCTGCCGCTGCCGCCGCCGGCCTCCATGAGCCCCAGCGTGCACGCGCTGTTCGAGGCGTACGAGCGGGCGGCGCGGCGGCCGCCCGAGCCCGGTGACAGGAGGGCGTTCCGACTGTACGAGCCGGCTGGGGTGGAGAGGCACCGGCCGCCGCTGCCGCCGCCGGCAGGGTATAGCGCCGGGTGGCAGCATCACCTGCAGCTTCAGCAGCAGCAACAGCAGCAGCAGATGGAGCTGCACCACCAGCAGTGGCTGCAGCAGAGCCAACAGGAGCGACAATTCTACATGCAGAGAGAGCAGCAGCAGCAGGTGCATCAGCAGCAGCAGCATATGCAACAGCACCACCTACAGCAGCTCCAGCTTCAGAAGCAGCAACAGCAGTCGCACCCGAGACATGATCACCAGATGCAGCTGCACCACCAGCAGCAACAACTGCACCATTATCAGCATCACTACCAGCCGGTCCACCAGCCTGTCCAACAGCCCCAGCATGAGGCGCAGCGGCAGAGCGGCCACCAAGGACAGCCTCAGCCGCAGCAGCAGGCCCTGACACACCAACATCAGCAGCACCAGGACCGGCCGCAGCAGCAGCAGGTTCATCAACACCTTCAGCAGCAGCCGCAGCAGCAACCTCAGCCACCACAGCAGCCGCAGCGCCACCCCTCTGCCCAGTCCCACCCTCCGCCGCAGCCGGCGCTGCAGGGCTCAGCCTCCTCTGCCGCTCTGTCGGGCAGCTGGGGCGCCGCCGCCGCCGGCTGGTGCCCGCAGGACCCGGCGCAGGGCCGGCGGCCGGTGGGTGCCGGCGCCGACCCGGCCGTCTGCTACCCCTGTCCAGAGTACCAGGGCGCGCGCCGGCACGTCTACCCGACCCTGGGGGAGCCGTGGGCGCCGGTGGGGCCGGTCGGCTGGCCGCCGCGCCCCGGCGCCCTGTAATGCCCCCCCCCCCGCCGACCGCCCCCGCCCGCTGCTCACAAGGACATGCCCTTTCGCTCAAGGAGTTGTGCTCGTCGGATGAGGTTTTGCATCCCAGATGTTTTATCACTCGCCTGTGTGGTGTTACAGGCGGGAAATGTATTTATTATGGCATGTCCTCTATTGAGCTGAATGATACGCTGTTACGTCAGTGTGCGTGAATTTTATCCGTCCCGTAATTACGTGTCACGTTTTATTGTTTTTTAAGTGTGCATCTCGATATAATACACCATTCTACTTTCGTGATATTAATGTTTATTTATAAAAGAATCGTACAAATACTGCGTTCTTAAAGTAGATCTATTAAATTTCTGAGCCACGCTAGCGACTGATCCATCGGCCGCATAGATCTATCGCCTATCACATTCACGGAAGCACCATTCCACCGATAGCACACTATCTGAACATACGCTCATCGCAACAGAATCGCTTCATGCCCTTCTTCGGACATCTCGACTGGTTTGCAACTATGGCACAAATGACGAAGACGACCCGTTATACGTGAAAAGCACACCTCTGTAGCGTCAACATTTACAAGGGCGGAGTGAGTTCTCCACCAGCACAGCGGTCGGCCACCACGGGACAACCAGCTGTCATGACACTGACAGGGATTCACCTGACAGCTGACTGACAGCCCGGGGGTGCCCCGGGAGAGTACTCCCTGACCCCGTCCTGAACCGGGCGGTGACTGGTGACCCGGGTCGAGGCTATGTTTGGGAGGTGGCGGGGGATATGGAGGGCCGGGTGGTGACCGTCGACCCGCGTCGAGGCTATGTCGAGGAGGTGGTGGGGGACAGGGAGGGTCGGGCCCGTTTGGGGGCGATGGTCGGTGACTCTGAGCCGTCCCTGCTCTGTGCTCGTGCCTGCTTACCGGACACCGCTGGCTGGCCGGGCGGAGAGGTGGACCGGTTCTCGATCGGACTCAGCACAGACTGTGTGAGGGAGAAAACACCGGTCAGCACCACAGCACAAAATGGCAGGGAGAAACACTGGTCAATACTGACTGGCGAGGAGAAAGACCGGTCAGTAGAGACTGGCGAGGTAGGAACGCCGATCAGTAAAGCAGCATAGCTAAACATCCAGTCTCCGACCAAAGTGTAAGCGTCAGTATATGAGCGAGCCGTAGTTGAAAAGCTTCAAGACTGTTGCCATTTTCCCGACTTGCTAAAATCGTTATAAAATTAGCAATACTGCACCGAATAATAGCCGAAAAAAATACTTTAGGTAATGGCAAAAACTTCGGGAGTCTCACAATTGGCTTCCGATTGATATATTTTGTCCAATTTGTCGACACCTTTCTCAGTAGCCGTAAGACTGAAATAGTTCAAAACGTTGTTATAAAGTCACCCGCCTCAGACACATTGGGAAATGGCGAAGAAAACCAGAGAGTGAGCCCTAAATCGTGTGATTACCACAAGCCACACGATGAAACGCCCATACACAATCAAGACGTAACGAGGAGGCTTGCTCACTCATCCACTCACCTCTGTATCCTGCTCATTCTACGCATGGTTGAAAATTACAAAACCCTCTGATCACATCGCGCCCGAGCAAAGATTATCCCCGCGTTCGATGTCTCTCGGACGGCGAAGATTCTACGTCGTCTGGCCAATCACGTTCCATAACCGCAGCCGAGCCCCCGCTGACCTTGAACGGGATTGGCCGGACGACGAAGAATCTTCGCCGTCCGAGAGACATCGAACGCGGGAAATATGTTGGCCTTTTGCTCACGCACCAGAAATGAAAAAAAAAACAATTTAACGTTTACACCACTCGGGTGCAGGCTGACTCATCCACATCGGTGGGTAGATTTCACGCATTTATCCTTCTTTAAGTACAGTGTAGGCCATGTATGATTCCTTTTCCTTACCTGCGGAACAGCGTGCTTGGCCGTCATCTCCGCCGCCGTGTGCTCGTACTCCTGGCGCCGGCACCGGTACTGCTCAGCCTGAAACACCAACGGCGACATCTGTTAGAAACCACACAAACTAGCGCTTCGCGTCGGCGAGTGAGGTAGATGACGCTGGGGTTTGATAGCAGCTGCTCGGGACCTTCTACGTTTCGACACGTGTCATTGGGTACGGTAGGGTCACAAAGATCGATGGCCCATGGCTCATCTGTTGGATTTAAGCGCACATCTGATAGTGCAGTCGATGTTTAAACGAATTCAGGTCACCCCAGGACACAGCCGACAAACACAACCACAAAGTGATGCGGTGCTTTGTATGTAAATGAAATTAAGTCCGGTCTTTTTCCGTGCCTAATCCCCTTATGGCCACTATGACTGCAATACAATAACAATGCAATGACTTATCTTTAATAATAATTGGATAGTTGGGGTTGCTGAGCGATGCTACATTAATAAATGGCTAAGCAGCAATAGTGTGACATAAGTTTACTGTTATCTATTGCCACAAATTGCAACCTCTTTTTGATACAACTGTTTGTATGCTGAGTGACTATTTTCTATCTTATCATTTTCAATTAAACGTCTAGAACAAAAAGGCGATTGTAAAAATGTCATCTGGAAATGCCAACGTTCCTTACACACGCCTGCCAATAAATGATCCTCTCCTCCACCCACCCTTCCTCAAACCATCACCTTCCGGCATCTCTCACTCACAATATCGGGCATGAGCGGGTCGTCAGGGTTAGGCTCGGCCAGCAGCACCCTGACGGACAGCAGCAGCGTGGCCAGCTGCAGGCTGGGCCTCCAGTCGCCCGTCGGTGGCATCTTCAGCGCGCCCAGGCAGATGCGTCCCGACGGGTCCACGTTTGGGTGGTACACCGGCGTGGAGAACGTCACCTGGGGCGGCTCAAACGGGTACCTGGAGGAAAGACAGTGAGTGGAGCAGTCAAGACAGGGAGCAGATGATTGGGAACAGACATTGCGATGCAACTCACTGTTACAGCAGTTGAGTTCATTGCGGTGGATTGAAGCTTAGACAAGCCTTCAACTGTTCTCCCCATTAGCAATCAATGGTGATGCCGCAAGTTTATGAAAATTGAAATATGATCTATGAATGTAAAATGCATGATTTTTTATACTTGAAGATCATCACTGTTCAGATATCATTAGCTGAAAGTGCCCAAGCCTGTTAGCTATGCCAGAACTCTAATACATATGCACCCCATTCCACAAAGTGCTGCAGATTCAGAATACACCTCTGCCAATGTAGCACCCACCTTTCTGGAACCACCACGTCCAGCTGAAAGGTGCCCTGCTCAAAAGGCGAGCCCTCAGGTCCAGTGATGGTAGCCTTCAGCCGAGTGATGTCATCCCCTTCAGCAGCGCAGCAGACCCCAGCTGGTGGTGACACTGCCAGCATTGCCAGCTCCTTCTTCAGACGGGCTGCACGCTGCATTTTGATAACACTGTAAACAATGATGAAGAGGTCATTGTTTTGACTTGCTTTGATAGACAAGAACATCATCAAAATGGTATGAATGGTGCACAGATCTATTTAGCAGCTGAATATGATGGCCCTAGGCAAGTGCTTGACAGTTATGATTTGATGGCATGCTTAGCATATATACCTAGACCATGAAACAAATAACAATTAACAATTGAAAACAGAAGTTTACTTGCAGTTTGCACTGCAGTCTGAAACTGACGGTGATGATACTGATAATGAACTTAAGTCAGAACTATCACTCGTGTTAAAATTCCTACACCACTCTAAATAAAGTTACATGAACCAATCACAATAGTTGTTTTATAAAAATGAAAAAAATCACATAATGATAACCTTCGCCCACCCTCACCTGTCAGTCACAAGACAAAAACGAGGACGGACCGATTTCGAGCCACGCGCGCTTATTTTGCAAACAAATCTACCGCCATTTTCAGGAGCTAAACAAATTATGATATTTTCGGTTTCTGATAGAATTCTTATGTTATTTCAAGTGTTAATTACAAAAACTAATATTAAAATCTGTTGTATTCAATTTTATCATAAACGATAAAAAGTATCCTCAGAGATTGTGCAAGAACAACAAAATAAAATTATTTCAATAGTTTTTGAATTCACTAGGTGACCTTGAGGCGAAAACTGCGCATGCGTGCGTCAATTTGAGTGACGTCACTGCAATGCGCCCCTGCGATACGTTGGCGTCGCCGGCTTGATTTCCTCGGTCGATATATAAGACTGAAAATGACTGAGCAGTCACCAAAGAGAGCAAAGATGGCTAGTGTGTTGGATCAGCTCAAGGATGTTACGGTCGTTGTCGCCGATACTGGCGACTTTGAAGGTAAATAATGTTCTGGAAACTCACAGCTGTTCAGTTATTTTTTCATTTCAATTTTCAGCTATTCCCTTTTCCATGCCCTGCTTTACTGACTGATGAACTTCATGTCTCATGCCTTTTGTTGTAAAATTTTCACATTATCAACCATATTTGTATGCCCTAGAAGTTGTTAGCGTATAATCCACCTTTGGCTCGGAGTCAGCGTGAGAACGCTTTCATTGGCGGGCTCGTACCTACTAACTACCGACCAGCTTCAAGTTTTCCTTGGTGGCTTTTAGAATTTTAGGCTTCAAATGATATGAGGTTACTGATTCAATTCCATATTATGTAAATTATTCAGCTTCTGATATATCACTAGGCGCCTCTGATTGTCAATGGTAGGTTTACGTATTTGACACATATCAATATGAGACAAGCATACAAACATTAATTGTGTTTAGTCATTAAGGCTATGCTTCTTATTGTTTTACTGTTTCATTGCTTACAGATTTTCCCTACTTCCTACCTTGTTTTTTTGTGTGTAGCTACACTGTAATACACTGCATGGGTGTGTGCTGTGTTTTATCTGAATGTCATGCTTTTTGCTCAGCAAACAACATCAAATGTTAGTGAATGCTGGGGGATGGACAATTAGGGCTTTAACCTGTTTCTAACCATTCATTTGTTGTTTCCTTTCCAGCTATGAAGAAATACAAGCCCACAGATGCAACAACCAACCCATCACTCATTCTGGCAGCTGCGTCAATGCCACAGTACCAGAGCCTCATTGACAAAGCTGTGGAATATGGCAAACAGGCTGGAAAGTAAGTTAACTCGATTTATCCTCTTGCATGAGGGTTGTTACAGCCCATTACTTTTCTTCTTACATTGTATTCTCACCTGGTAGGTTTACTAAGTCTGGCAGCCTGAAGGATAGGCAAAAGGCAAGGCTCATCTTTTGCTGTTATTTCATGCTGCTGGATAATCATGTCACATGCTTGATGCAAATATTTCTAAATGACATCACAACTCACATGCAGACTATGTGCTGAAAAAGCTCTCATCATTGCACAAGTTATTGGTGGTAAAGACAGTCATTTAGTCATCTCATTCTAACAGTCCTTTATCAGTTTTTCATTGTAAATCCTAGCATTCCATTACTGCATGGTTATTGCCATTTTTGTTCAATATGCTGGGTGGCTGTAGGATTGTTCCTGAAGATGTCATTGATGCTAAAAAAGCACCCACTATAGAGCCAGAGTGTAGGTTTGATCCAGCTGTAACAGACGGACATTGTCCAACGTTCTCGGGTTTTTCACGGCCTCGGATAGGGGCTCGGTCGGATATCCGGTATTGGTGGACGGATTCCGGTACATCGCGCAGTTTTTCTCCGGCTGTTCTCTGGTCTGTCGTTCCTGATTTTGCTGACGCTGCTCTCGTTACAGCGTTTTTCTGCGATCGTCACTACCGCCGGGCCGCGCCGGCAGGAAGTCTGGCCCGCTGGTTATAAAACATTTTTGAACCTGCTTGTGAATATTGGCACTTATCATGACAGATAGCTTGTCATGTTAGGGGTATGAAATATCTAATGTCGATGCTGCACAATGCACATCCTTTGCACGGTACTGGTTACCGTGACCGGTCTCAGAGAACCCGTTAGCGGCCCACCGCACGGATGGAGCCAGTTGGAGGCTATTGATTCTTTCCGTCCGTCCCGTGTCTGGCGCCCATGGCCGTCCAGCTCTCCTGCGCAGCTGGATGTTTGAATGACCATGTTTGATTGATATGCCCAGTTGAATGAACGTTGTTTTGCAGTGGTGTGAAGGAATCTGATATCCAAAAGGTCGTTTGAAAAATTATTTTGTCCTTTTCATGTCGAATATTTCATAAGACAGATAAACAAGCATCAGTTACATGTGATCTCGTGGGAAATAAAATAACACTTTATCTAAATAAAGTAATGTGCCCGTGAGGACGGAGTATTTCCCGGGATGGTTGTATTGGCTGAAAATAAACCGGCGCAGGCCGGCGGTGCTGCTGGATCTGACCTCCATCCGCCCCGCCGCCGCCGACCGTCGGCATGTATTGATTGTCGGAGGGGGCGGTAGGGCGCCGCGCAGAGGTCACGCCGGTCACACTAGTTCCCTGGTCCGAGGGAGGGATGGGTGACCGAGCGGTGGCGCAGTCCGGGAGGGGTGGGCGGCGGCGGTAGCTTTTATTGGTGGTGTTAAGCTATGGTAATGTCTGGGCCTAGGATCAAGGGCTATACCTTCATATAAGATTGACCAAGGACCTTTTTGTTATCACCATCATACCATGGACCATCGCAGATCAGGCTATCCAGCCACCCTATTTGCCCGTTTGACTTGATTTTTTGTTTCCCCTGTGGGAAATGTGACTAGTTAATAACGGTGTTCTGATGCATGACATTTTCAACGGCATTGTTACCTGTGAAAGCCCTCAGGAAACGTCAATTACTTCCTTTTCCGGCAGCCTTCAGATGCCTTCGTTGGCTGAACTAACTGCGATTCATTGTTCGATCTTCCGCCGCTGTGTCACTAGGACACCTGCTGCGTCCCCCGCGTCCTAGTCCTACCGCCGAGCCGCGTGCCGAGCTGGCCGGGCGGAGCGGCTGCGCGCACGGCCATGGGGTTCCTCGGAGGCAGTGGACCGGGTCACCTCCTCCCCCGCCCTCTTTCACCTCCCCGAGACCTGCCCGCGTCGCTGTCATGGTTCTGTTGCCCAATCAGCGAGCCGTGCGAGTAATGGTGCGGAGAGCTGACGCACTGTTCCCCAGCTCGCCCGCCCGTGGTCGCGCCGTTTCCCAATCGCTCGCGCTGGTGCGTGTTGTCTGCGCCAGTGCGTGTCGACTGTAATAGTCACGGCGGTGGCGGTGTGGTGAAGATCGTAAATGTTGACTGTTGGTTCAACAATGCGTCAAGGCGGATGGGACAGAACAAGGCTGCCTTTAGGCCGGTCCTGCCCGCCAATCAAGAACATCAGATCACACCACATCATGATCTTTCACTCGTTCTTATGTCATCAATCAATATCAATCTGAAAGCTTGATGCGATCAATCTCTGTTTTTGGGCTAGGGGAGGTTGGGGTTATTTGGCCGCTTTTTTTAGAAAACGATAGAACTTAAAATTGACGACACATTTCTGCATTTTCTCAACGCTGGCAGGTGTCGCATTCATTTTACTTTACTGGACAGTGAACTTGAAATGATAGAGTAATTACTTATATTGAAATTGTGACGTTTTACAAAGGTCTGCAAGGCGGCCAAATTGCCCCACTAGCAGGGTTATTTGGCCGGGGGTGTGGGGCAATTTGGCCGGTGTTAGTTTGCGGTCGGGATTTTCTATTATATTGCGAGTCAGCTTCAGATTCAGCAATGACGTGTTTCCTATGACGCATTTGCCGCATTTTGGAGGTTGACTCAGGGGTCACAGGGGTCAAAGTAGCCAAATTAGCGGCTCTGGATGCGAAGATAGTTTTTTTACGAATAACTTTTGAAGTAATCAAGCTAGGCCATAACTTCGAGTACCATCGTAATTCTCTCGTCAGTCCGCATCGAAAGATATATGTGTTGACCTTGAGAAGTCAAGGTCAAAGGTTGATCTCAGGTCACGTTGCATCAGGTCGCTTGACCTCAAGGTCACGTGATTTCAAGGTCATCATGCATATCGTTCGATGCGTCTCGGCGAGCTGAACAGAATGAGACCATTTGTGCGGCTGTACCATTTTTATTTAAGGATTTATTAGCAAAAAACGTTTGGTAACCTTTGATGACGTCACATGCTCTTACAGTTGACCAATCGGAAGTAAGGCATCAAAGTAGTCAAAGTTGGTCATGAATCATGTCATTTATGGTACAATTGACAATGAAAACTGGGCCGTCCCAGCATAGTGACCATGAGCGCACCGGCCAAGTTGCCCCGCTAGTCCCGGCCAAATTACCTCATATTGCCATTCTGAAAATTTTTGTCTATAAAATCATCACGGCTATACGGAATTAGATAAAATTGCTCTTAGAACCGCTGAACACCCTAAAGAATGGCGCTATAATGTCTGAATTCGTTTTTAGCCCAAATACTACATGTTATACAACTTTGTAAACAGAAGTAAAAGTTACCATTTTCTAATGAAATTAACGTTTTATTAATTTTGAATAAAACTACGAGGGACAAAGTTTTGACATTTGTCCTCCAGTTATTTCTACCCATGACAAATGAATAGAGACTAGAGTTATTTCCTCACTTTTATTAGACATCGTACAGGTGGGGGCGGCCAATTTACACCACCGGCCAAATTACCCCACTCTCCCCTAACTTCCGTGCACTCGATGTAAACGTGTACCGGCGGTATTCTGGGTCTTGATCGGACCGTCTCGGACCGTGACGCCGTGGCGGCACCTTTGTCGAGGGCGCGTCTCGAATGGTCCGGTCACCTGAGACCGAGACGTGCCCCAGATACCGGAGCGCGAGTAGTCACGGGTCGGGCGCGGTCGGCGGCTGGCCCCTGGACCCAGGGAGTGTCACGTGGACCAGGGCCGGGGTGAGATTTGTGGTCGGCCAGCGGACACACCCTTCGGTGCCCGGTGTCCGTTGGTTTACTGGACAGTGGATGATTATCTGATGACCTGCCTGATTTGGGTGTGCTCAACGATGACTTTGTCAGCTCCGGTGTCTCCGCTCGTTAATGAGTGTCGCTGGTGCCAGGGGCGTAGGCAGGGGGGGGGCCACTGGGCCATGGCCCCCCCCCCCTTGGGCGCCGAAGGCGCCCTTTGCGATTGGAGGGCGCCGAAGGCGCCCTCCAATCGCAAATGCAATTGTGATATAATCGAATCGAAAAACAATCGCGACTGGAGGGCGCCCTCCAATCGCGAATGTGTTTACAGGGAAAATACGGATGGAGGGCGCCCTCGGAGGACGCCCATTCCAAATACGCCCTCCAAATACGGTTGGAGGGCTCCCTCGGGCGCCCTCCAACCACATTTGTAGGCTGTAGCTCTCTAAGCGTAACGGTGGTCGCCTATGTAAGCCGCTGTCCTGTAAATAAGCGCCCTCTCACCCGAAGGCGCCCTCCTGTAGGTCGCCACCCTGCTACATATTGCCGCCCTTCTGCTGATCGGCGTCCTCATAATTATTGGCGCTCTCCTACCTATTGCGCCCTCATGTGAAATTTTGAAGGCCGCCTTTCTCCCTTTTGGCACCCTCTTGTTCAGTGCCGCCCTCCTACCTATTGGTTCCCTAGTCCTTCCTGTTGAATGTTAATCGGGGCCCTTCTCCTATTGGCGCCCTCGTGTAGATCGCCGCCCTCCTAACCACTGGCACCCTCCTGTTGATCACCGCCCTCCTATCCACTGGCACCTTCCTGTTGACTAGCGCCCTCCGCACAGACGCCCTCCTGTTCGTGTCATCCTCTTGAGCAAAGGCGCCCTCCTCACCATTGCCACCCCCATTTTAATCGTCACCCTTCCGCTCATTGGCGACTTCCAGTTGATGACCGCCCTCCCACCTATTGGCGACCTCTTGTTGATCGCCACCCTCCTATTGGTGCTCTCCTGTTCCTCGCCACCCTCTTACCTGGTGGCGCCCTCCTGTTGATTGTTGATCGGCGCCCTCCTACCTATTGGTGCCCTCCTGTTGATCGCTGCCCTTCTATCCATTGGCGCCCTCCTGCTGCTCGCCAACTTCCTACCTATCGGTGCCCTACTGTCGAAACTCGGGATGTTGATCGGGGCTCTTCTACCTATTAGTGCCCTCCTGTGGATCGCAGCCCTTCTACCTATTGGCAACATCCGTTGATCGCTGCCCTCCTATCATTTATTTACTCCTTTGGCATATTTTTCAACTTAGTCGTTCTATTGCACATAGTTGATGTCTTGCCTGTGAAAACTGCCACAAATGAACGTGCATTCAGCACAATGAATGAAGTATCTATACCTACCAAAACTATCTACGCTCTACGATGCATAAAACACGTCTTTGGTCTTAACGGATTGATCCTACTTTACGTGCATCATGGCATCTATATGGATTACGATTAAGTATTGTCAACAGGTTCGGGCGCAACAGCAGGCATCTGAAGTTTCGGTGATTGAAACTGGTTATGTGGGTACACTGTATGCATCTGTGAGAAGGCTATGAAGGCTGGTCTGAGGTAATTTGGATGATGTTTACGCATCTCGCGCTCCGGTATCAATCCGATACGGTGATCTGGTGCGTAGATATGCCACCGCCAATAAACTTTTATACATCGACACCCATGAGCCAAGCTTTCTGTACAGTTTGTGTGGCAGCGGCCCGACCAAACCTTAGGTATTTTTTACACCTTCAAATTTGGTAAAAGAGCGAGAGGAGCTTTGAACAGTGATCGTATAAAAGGCGTGCCTAAAAAGCGGAGGAAAAGGTTGTTTTCAAAAATTTCGCGCGCCTTCGGCGCAGCATTTCAAGAACACTTGACCTTTTGTGACCTGGAGTATAAAGAATACACACGATGCAAAATCAATGCAGCACGACCTATACGAGGTTACGCAAAAAAAAAAAAACTGGTGGCATGGTAAAAAACGCCTCCCAGCCCCCCAACCCCCACTGAGCGATTTTTTATCTCGCGACCGTATGGCGCCCTCCTTGGGTGAGGTGGCGCCCTCCAAACCCTTGGCCCCCCCCTTCGCGATTTTCTAAATACGCCGCTGGCTGGTGCCGAGCTCTAAGTCGCAGTCGAAATCGCCGCAGTCCATCAGGCACCGCCTCAGTGCATTGTCTCCTGTTGCACGCGGTCCCAGTCTCCCCCAGGTCCGGACGCTGCTCCAGTGGCGGGGGCAGGGCACGGCAGGCCGGCCGGCCGGCCGGCGGTCGGTCGGAGGTCCGGCGTCCTTCCTGTCTGATAGCGGACCCACGTCCGGCGAGTGGCGAGCACTCGACTCCGGCGGGAGGGGAGGGGCAGTTCCCCCTCTAGTCCTTCCCGCTAACGTGATATGGCATTGTCACCTGTCTGAGAATGATATGTATTGACTCTTTACAACCTCGCTACCTGTTAGTATGTACAGTTAGTATGTTAGTATGTTAGCATGTAGGTGGCGGGGCATGGGCCAGAGCGAGGCAGAATCCAGTTGAGACCTCCTAGCCCGACCGACCGACATGGACGGACCTAACGGCCGTGAGACGTGACGTGATGCGTAACGAGACCGTGACGTGACGTGAGGTGGCCGTGCCGTGACGGTTCCGATCTGATAACGTCCGCCGGTGGGCCGTCGGTGCCGCCCGCGTGCACAGCAGGCACGTCTGTCGTCACCTCTGTCCCGCCGCCGCTGTTTGTGTCAATGTTACCTCAGCTGCTTAGTTACAGAGAACGGCGTAGGAGGGAAAGGCCTCGTTTGGTGGGGTATCTTTTTGAGGCTCTGGCCACAAGAAGAGCAAGTCCGGCAAGTGGGGTAAAACGGAGATTAAAATTCACGGCCGTGAAAGCTGTTTTTAGGGGTTCGGCACAGTTTCCTCTCATATCAGATAGGTCAGCTGTGCAGCACGGTGATACACCCAGGTCACAGAGGTCAATCACGAGGCGCGCTGCTGCTCTCTGAGGTCCCAGGTCAGGCCTGGAGCCAGTATCGCCGGGGTGGACTGACCGCCGTCCACCGTCCAGGGCTGTTACCAAGAGGCGGCGGACGATCACGCTGTTTATTGGTTTGATCGGGTGATGGACGGCGATTGTCGGAATGGCTTCTGAGCGAGAAGGGTTGCCAGGGTAGCGATTTGTCTCGCGAAAAAAGTGATTGTGTTTATTATGGTTTAGATTGAGGAATGCGACGTAACATAGCAGGCTCTATGGGACGATTGGGAGCGTGATGCAATCGTTTATCTTCTGTCCGTTTAGCACTCCGTGTCCGCGAGCGACTGTTAAGCTCCGTTATACCTATCTACTGTCTCCGGCTACTGTCTCTCATGAGCTGAATGCCCAACCTCTAATGCTACCCAAGACGAAAGAGGCTAGCAGACGCGTGTTAGGCATGTTTCATCAACCAGCCGACATGCGCTGAAGGTGCTGGGACCGGCAGACTTAGCTGACCTGATCACTCCACGAACACACCGGGCACCCCACCCAACCACTCTCTCTGAACTCTGCACCAAAGCGGTTCATTGCGTCTGAACGGCTGCGCTCTCCCCTCACGACCGTGACTTACGAGCCGTGGGGTGGTTGCAGGTAAACGGCCTCCGCCCGCCGTCCGATGGCGCTCCCTCCGGTCTGCCTGACCCGGTCTGCCAGGCAGACCAGCTGGCTGTGAGGTCTGAGTGCTGCTTCACAATGCAACTGGCTGGGCAAGCTAAGATATGGAGAAGTGGTCTCTCTCTCTCTCTCTCTCTCTCTCTCTCTCTCTCTCTCTCTCTCTCTCTCTCTCTCTCTCTCTCTCTCTCTCTCTCTCTCTCTCTCTCTCTCTCGCTCTCCTTCCCTCTAGGCCATTCTCCTCTACCATGACGACCAAAGCGCAATAGCGTCAAAGGACCTCTGTTGTTTGTTGCCAGCGAATTTGCTTCCAGCCTGTGGCCTCCCACTTACCGGCTAACCAGGCAGGTGGCGAGGCGGGGACTGGCAGGGGTCTCCCCGTTGTGGTGACGTCTGGTTTTCTGACGTCACTCTGACCTGTCCGTCATGCTGGGGGAGGACAGAGGGATGTGGAAAGGGAGAGGCTGATGACGAACTGCGGTTGGTGTTTTAGGCGGGACCCTCTGGAATAATCTTGCGCTATGTTTGCTCTCCTGCTGCGGAACGTTGAAGAAGTTGGCCGCTCATATTCGATGATATTTTACCACTGGCTGTACCGCCATCTGTGGCCTCCGACCACCTTGCCTGGCTATGCCTGACCACCTCTTATGTGCCTTCCGCTGTCCGTCTCCTCCCGTCTCCTGCCTAGTCTCCGCTGGCCATTCTCCGCTGGTCAGTCTCTGCCGGCCATTCTCCGCCGGCCATTCTCCGCTGCCCAGTCTGCGCTGTCCAGTGACTGCTATCTGACATCGTGCCTCGTCACGCGCCCAGTCACCGTGACATGTCATTCACGACACTCGGGAACACTCTGAACGGCCTGTGCCGTCGGTACGGAACCCTGAGGCCGAGCGACAAATGGGCGCCGCTCCAGAAGCGCAGCAGTCACGGTCGCTGCACAGTTCACATTTGACTAAAATTCCTAATAGGTCGTAGCGTAACAGGTCGTAACCTATTCCTACTGTAATTGGTTCGTTTCGTAGGATCGACACGATGGATCCTTTCCGCAGCGCCTGAAATTGAATATGACCCGATATTTCATCCACGTAGCGACTCTATCCACGGCCAGACAGCACTGTTTAAATGCTGACAATAACGTGACGGTTTTTGTGTTGCTTTTTTCTTTTGTCTCCGCTCCCACTGTCTGGCTCGGGCAGCCTGTTTACCGCTATGTCAGAGACCAGTGTTTATAGCTGTTCAGAATCGGTGGCGTGACTGTGTCGTCACGAGGGTGACGCGTCACGGTCACCGTCACACTCACCGTCACATTTACGGTCACGGGCTGTGAGGGGACAAACGCGGACACCGTTCAGTCCACTGTCTCCCCGTGTGAACAATTCACCGGCCGGCGGTGTCATGAGGTGGCGCAGTGAAAGGACCGCCGGTCCCTGCGAATGCCGCCATTCAAATGCAATGTGAAATTTGAAACAGGTATTTAATGCCAGTCATGTGTGACACCGAACGTTCATGGATTTCGGTTCCTTTCGTTCTAGCAAATTGCACTGGCTATTTACGGAGCAGACCACATATGTGTGAATGTTTTTGGATTTTTTCTTCAATTTGATCAGCTTACATGTATGACTTGCCGCTCAACAGACTCCCGTTCTGACTGTGCTTTTGTGGCTCCTGTTCTGATTGTGTTTGTCCCGCTCTGACTATGTTTGTGGCCATTGCAGGACTGAGGAGGAGCGACTCTCGGCCACCATGGACCGGGTGTTTGTCCTGTTCTGATTGCGTTTGTCCCGTTCTGACTATGTTTGTGGTCTTTACAGGACGGAGGAGGAGCGGCTCTCGGCCACGATGGACCGGGTGTTTGTCCTGTTCTGTGTTTATTTGTGACTCCCGTTCTGACTGTGCCTTTGTGACTCCTGTTCTAATTGTGTTTGTCCCGTTCTGACTATGTTTGTGACCATTGCAGGACTGAGGAGGAGCGGCTCTCGGCCACGATGGACCGAGTGTTTGTCCTGTTCTGACTCTGTTTGTGGCTCCTGTTCTGACTATGTTTGTGACCATTGCAGGACTGAGGAGGAGCGGCTCTCGGCCACGATGGACCGAGTGTTTGTCCTGTTCTGACTCTGTTTGTGGCTCCTGTTCTGACTATGTTTGTGACCATTGCAGGACGGAGGAGGAGCGACTCTCGGCCACCATGGACCGAGTGTTTGTCCTGTTATGACTGTGTGTGTTTGTGACTCCCGTTCTGACTATGTTTGTGGCCATTACAGGACGGAGGAGGAGCGTCTCTCGGCCACCATGGACCGGGTGTTTGTCCTGTTCGGAAAGGAGATCCTCAACATCGTGCCTGGCCGCGTCTCCATCGAGGTGGACGCCAGGTGAGAAAATGCATATCATGCAACGGTGCAGTCTGGAAGGGGATCATGACAGCGACGCCGCCTCTGCAGATACTACAGAATGGCTAGGAATAGGGAAGGTTGAATATAAGGAATTAGCATAGATTTGAATGCATGCCTAGTTCGATCAATCAATTGTCCGCCAAGCGTGGGTTGATCGAAACTGAGAAAAACAGCTGTCTTTACTGGTTATAGCTGCATCTGCCACCTTTACGTTCACTGATGAGCTATAGAAGGCCATCTGTTTTCAGAGCTGGACTCACCCTTTAGCCAGGGACACTTGTGGCCCGTAATTATCGCTTGCACTGGCGGGCAGGCCACTTGGGCTCCGCTTCAGCTGAAACACCATAGGCATACACGTGTTGTATAATGTATAAATCATGTCTCGCGTTCACGACGACTATTGACATTTGAGATTGTCATCGTGCATGTGTTTTGCGTGCAGGTTTACTTGCGCACTTGCTCTAGTCTATGCAATATGAACTTTTTTACTGGAAAGCTGCGACACAACACAACCCAAAATCATTTACGACATTCGTGTGTTGATGTGCGTGTGTGACTCTGAGGGAAAATGCTGCGCCGCTGAAGGTCGTTTTCCCGTGCGTGGGTTCGTGCCACTCTCGCCAAAGCGCCCTGCGTTTGGAGAGAACCTATTATCTCAGACGATAACATGTAGTTTCGTTCGAAACACATGCTGAGAGTCGATCAGGCATCAAAAGACAAACAATTCTGCCATCGTATTTCATCTTATTTTCAGTCATGTGCCATGTGGCGGCTATTGCTGAAACGAATAACATTCGTAATGGCATTGTCAGACTGTCCTCCGACGTGTGTGTTTTTCTACATCCCAAGATCTGACCCTCGTGCCCCCTCTCCAGGCTGTCGTTTGACAAGAAGGCCAGCATCGCCAAGGCGCGCAAGTTCATCTCCATGTTCGAGAAGGAGGGCATCAGCAAGGAGCGCATCCTCATCAAGCTGGCCTCGACCTGGGAGGGTATCGAGGCGGCGCGCGAGCTGGAGCAGGAGCACGGCATCCACTGCAACTTGACGCTGCTCTTCTCGTTCGCCCAGGCGGTGGCCTGCGCCGAGGCCGGCGTCACGCTCATCTCGCCGTTCGTCGGACGCATTCTGGACTGGTGAGTGGCCGCAGGGTGGAGGGGGGGGGGGGATACGAGGGAGTGGAAGAGGAGTTAGAGAAGGGAGGTAGAGGGATGATTGGGTGTAGAAGGAGTAACGGGAGAGATGAGTGGGCTATGCAGAGACGGATTATTGGTTGAGAGAGAGATGGAATTAATAGCTTATTTGGATACTGGCGCTTTAAGTGCTTGACGTTTGACGATTTGTGCTGCTACTTGAACATTAAACCTGATGGGACACCTGAGTGTTTATGGTGTCATTTTCTACGCTTTTTATCCTGGCAGAGTCCAAACATATGTCATTGTCATTCAAGTCAGCTATTTGTCAATAACAAAATCGATGTGCTGCCGTGTTTTAGGTACGTGGCCAACACGGACAAGAAGAAGTACGAGCCGCGCGAGGACCCGGGCGTCGTCTCGGTCACCAAGATCTACAACTACTACAAAAAGTTCGGCTACAAGACGGTCGTCATGGGCGCCTCGTTCCGTAACACCGGTGCGTATTGTCGCCTTTAACGCCATGTCGGGCCGGCCGGCCGCGTGCTGCTTCTTAGCGGAGGGAGGAATGGGGAGGGGGCTGTGTAGTGGTTGAGTTACCACAGGGCTTCGCCGTTGTGACAGCAATGTTCTAAGGACGTCGCTACATTGAGCTGTTGCTTTCGAGCCAGTAGAAGAATCAGTCACAACAAAGGGAATGATTGCGATATGTGCGACTGGCTTGTAGCGTTGGACACTCGACGCACCGACCTATTTTACTCAGAAAAGTGTGCTTTTACGGCGTCTTAGCGCCAATTTAACCCCTATCTCGTCATTCCCTTCCCTCCACCACCCCGCCACCCTGTCTACACCAGCTGACTGACCTGTGTTACCCCTCTCTCACGCTCTCAGGTGAGATCACGGCTCTGGCCGGCTGTGACCTGCTCACCATCAGCCCCAAACTGCTGGAGGAGCTCTCCAACGGCACCGACAAACTCACCACACAGCTCAGCGAGGCCATCGGTGAGAAAGAGGGCGCAGTCACATGGAAGGATGAGCGCTCAGAGCGTCGAGTGGTTGGAGGGAGGGTGTTAGTTGATGTGCGCAGGCCGGGACGGAGTAACTGGTGATGTTTCTATTGTTTAAGGCGGTAAGCCAAAACGGTCTTTCGAGTCATTAATGAATGTTTCTTGAATGTAATCTTGAAGTAATGAATGTTTCTTATGCTGGAGTTGCTCTCAGAATTCAGGGTAATTCTGCTGGATCCCTCCAATTTCCGTTGAATATCGGTTGTCTGTCCCCAGTCTGGCGGTTCGCCGTCGTGCCGTTATCGTTTTGGTGCGGTATACCGTATTCTGACAGCGCGCTCTCCATCCCCTTCCCACAGCCAAGAAGCAGGACCTGGACAAGATCGACATGGACGAGTCGACGTTCCGCTGGATGCTCAACGAGGACCAGATGGCCACCGACAAACTCTCCGAGGGCATCAGGAAGTTCGCCGCCGACGCCGTCAAGCTGGAGGGCATGCTGTCCGCCAAGCTGAAGTGAAGCGCCGCCGGCAGCTGATGTCGCTACATGACTGCCCTGTCCTAGTGGGGGCCGCCGCGCGAACCGCTCGCGCGCCGCGCAGCCCACTCGCGAATCATTCCAGAGAAAGGTTGTGGAAGTTTCTCCGCGCCGATCCCAGATCAACGCGTGGCCAGCAGAGATTTTGTACTTTTAATTTTGCGAATTTTATGAAGAGCTTAGAGCCATGTTCGGTGCTGGTGAGAGTCGGTTAGAGTACAACCTTCGGATGCGCAGGGTTGCCCGATCGCAGAAATATATTTATCATACTCGAGCTGTCGTGAGTTTTCGAAAACTACGATGATTTGCACACATCTTAGTTTATTCTACCAAGACAACAACTTGAGTCAGACACATGGAGTCTGCACGGCTGTGGCACGCTCTTGCCCTACATTCAATTGCATTGGAGTCGGCTAGGGACTCGGAATATTGCACTTTTAGGTCAGTAATTCGGCCACCGCTCAGCGGGACGGCAGAGACCAAGACAGAGACGGGGGCAAGCGAGTTAGGACTGGCACGATTCAACACACTACTGACCAGGGGAACCTGCTCGATGTCTACCGACTGGCAGCAGAGAGGCTCATTCACACCTCATTAGCGGGTGCGGCGGGTTCATCTAACAATAGGTCAGCCAATCGGCGGCTCACGCTACTAGCATATCAGCTGGGCAGTGCAAGAGAGATAACAGTGCAAAGCGATTAAGCCAGATAAATCCGTACATACTGCATTCCATGATGAATATCCCAACACCGGCGCGAAAAGAAAGTAACAAAACCACACGCACTGTCACGGGAACTAATTCAATGGCAAACAGTAAATACAAAAATGAGTCATTCGTTCTAATATGAAATATCGTTCCAAAATCACGCAGACCATCACAAAACAGATCCATAAATTCACTTACTGTGCACTGGACGAGAGAAGCTTCCAGTGACATGACAAAAAACAGCCCCAAATCACCTTACGCGGACGTAATTCAGTTTTCATCTGGCCCATTCTTCTGCGTACGTTAACTATCACACACGACTCTGCAGCTTGTTCACATTAACATGCGTCTACTGGCAACATCATCATCCAGGAACGGAAGGAACTCCACTGAACAGCGAGTGAGCGACCTGCTCGTGTACTGCTACGTAACTTTCTTCCGACGTCACAAGTCGTTTCCGGGGCGCAGATCTGTTCTCTAATCCAGCTCTTACTGAACAACCATCAACATCTATCACTTTACGCCGTCCTCTACCTGTGCGCTCTTCTGCTTCAAGTATCCACTCTTCCCTTCTTTGCCCCCCTCCTCCATCAAGCAACAGCTCATTCCTTCACTCATCTCTCCCACTTTCCCTTCCTCTACTCGAGCGTGACGAGCAGGTCGTCGGCAGTCACCTTTGTCCCCTGGCCGACCTCCACGGCCTTGACGGTGCCGTCGGCCGGCGCCTGGACCACCATCTCCATCTTCATGGCCGACAGCACCACCAGTGGCTGGCCCTTGGTGACCTTGTCGCCCTCGCTGACACGAACGTCCAGTACGTTGGCGTTCATCGGAGAGCCCACGGAGAGCTTGTTGGTAGGGTCGGCCTTCGGGTGCACCGCCATACCCTGAGGGCGAGGGGGAGGGACGTCAGTGCAGCACGGGTGGGGGCCGGCCGCCGGGGAGGGTAGAGAAACCGTGCGACAGGCTGAGTTGCTCAGATAATACATCCAGACCACGCCGTAGTTCATCAACAGCGTTTGTAAAAGTATAAATCGTCTCAAATCACACCACGTCAATGAACATTGTGATCCTTCATGGGACGCCCATCAGCCAGGACAAATCTTACGCGGCACGACTAGGATCCATAACATAGCCCGCATTTCGCGATAACAATCGTCCCTTCTAACTATTACCCGTCGCGGGACCCACCTTGGTGGCCTCCTCGTCCCTGATAAACACTGAGCGCAGCTGGCCGTTCAGCTCGAAGAACACCTCACGCTCGCCGTTCGGAGTCAGGTCAGCCGCCATCGCCAGAGTCTTGATGTGCAGCGTCTTTCCACGCTCGATGGTCACCTGAGATCGGGCCAAGGATAGGTCAGGTACTGGTCATGATAGGTCAGCGTCTTGCCCCGTCGCAGAGTCAGATCAGGTTGGGATGGTGTGCACGGGTTATTGCGAGTTGCCATATGCTAGCCCACCTGAATAATAAAACTGCCCACGTAGTTTTACTGATGTATAGGTACTTCACTACACTCCCAGTCCCATCCCATCCCCCATCCCCTCGCTCCCGGGTTGGGAAATGAATCAAACGTTCAACCACCTACCGATCCCTACCCTCCCTCCTCCGCCATCCCCCTCACCTCGAACTCCTCGGCGACGCGCGGTCCGACCAGGAAGATGCGCGTGTCCAGTTTATCCACCGGTCCGTACTTCTCCCGGAACTGGAAGAACTGCGACGCCACGTCTGGGTACATGGCGTACGACATGACGTCGAAGTCGGAGATGTTGCTGAAGCGCTCCTCTAGCGAGCTCTTGACGGCGGCGAAGTCCATGGGCTCGAGGTTGGCGCCCGGCCGGCCCTCGATCGGCTCCACGCGCATGTGAGCGAGCACCTGACCGCAGGAGGGGAGGGAGTGGTCAGAGCTCGGCAGAAACTGGTGATGTAAATGGGGGGGGGGAGGTCAAAGGGCGCTGCGACCTTAGTCAAGTAGTGTTCGGAAGAAGCAGCAGAACTGGGTCAGTATGAATATTCAGCCTGCATGACTACAACATGCCTAAAGTAATAGCCAGTCAGCATGTATACAGTAAAGCAAAAGGAGAGTCAGAAACAGCAAAGGGCCAGAGAAATGGGGAATAATTCAGAAAAAGGTCACAGAAAACATTGCAAATAATTGACAGAAAAAAATGACACTTGCGAATAACTGCTAAGTACACATGGGAGTGTAAAAATGTACAGTACCCCCCCCCCGGAATTATTTATTTCATGCGTCCATTCATCGCAACTCTGCCCTCCCCAACAATCACCCATCCCCTTCCGCCCTCACCTTGCTCCGGAGCGGCTCCGGGTATCCGCCGTAGGGCTCTCCCAGCTGGCCCTGCAGGAACTCGATCACAGACTTGGGGAAGCTCAGCTCGTCAGCCCGCAGCAGCACGTCCTGCGCACTCAGGTTGTTCTGCACCATGAACTGGGCCAGGTCGCCCACCGTCTTGGACGAGGGCGTCACCTGGAGCGGGGGGGGGGGGGAGGATTAGAAAGGGGTCCATGGCATACAAAATTATTTCAAACCCACTAAACGAACAGATCACAAGCAGTGAAGTAAGCGCTCCGATGTACCACAAACTAGAACTAACTCAATAAGGCTCCGTGTAAATTGGTAGAATGAAATATGATGCCCAGAAATCTGTCAACTCAAACTACTCGGCAATACACGATTCATGAAACAAAGTGCCGAACGTCAAGTGAGCTATGCAGATTGCAGATTAAGTCCGGAAGAATATCATGAATAATGCGAACAACATATCCGTTCATTCATCCCGCTGCCAAATTCGTCCAAACCTCAACCCTCCAATTCCCACTCCCCACTAACCTTGATGAGATCTCCGAGCACCTGGTTGGCCTCTCGGTACGCCTGTTTGACCTTCTCGAACTTATCGCCCAGGCCGAGCGAGAACGCCTGGAACTGCAGGTTCGTGTACTGACCGCCGGGGATCTCGTTCAAGTAGACGTCAGCGTTGCCGGAGCGCATGGTGGTCGTACACTCGAACGGCGCGTACAGGGTGCGCGTCTGCTCCCAGTAGGCCGAGTAGTCGCTCACCGTGGAGAGGGGGATGCCTGTGGAGGAAGGGAGGGGGTGGGGTGTCAGATATGGGTTAGCGGGACATGTGTGCGAGAAAGTTCGGCGTCAGCCGAGTATATGTAAGCAGCAGAAATTGTCACTGAAATCATGGCAACCGCAAAGTACAGAGCTGCAAGCGTAAGGTTATTGAAACTCAGTTCCTAACACTACTTACCCTCCATATCACCGCGCCACTCACCGGTATCGAGCTCGGTGCGCTGCAGGCTGGCCACCACGGCTCCCATGCTCGGCTGGGACGTCATGCCCGACATCGAGTCCACGGCCACATCCACCACGTCGGCGCCGGCCTCTGCGCAGCGCAGCATCGACGCCACGCCGGCACCGGCCGTGTCGTGGGTGTGCACGTGGATGGGGATCTGCGGGTACTTGGCGCGCAGGGCGGCAATCAGTGTGGAGGCCGCCTGAGGCCGCAGCAGACCAGCCATGTCCTGGGGAGGAAGAGAGGAGGAGGGTGTCAAGAGATCAGCGTTGACGCCGCCTAGAGAGAGGGGAGTCATAGGTCAGAAGAGACGCTGCCTGAGGCCGCAGCACGCCAGCCATGTATTGAGGAAAGGAGGAGGACCGGGCGTCAGAGATGGCGATTATTGATAGTGAATTGCGCTGATATTGTGACAGATTAAAGAGATGATGAGGCGCCCTGGTGAGTGTAGTCCGTTCAACATCATTCTTATCAGCTCTCTGTGAAAACTGAGAAGGTCTCCGCTCACCCATCTATCCTCGTACCTTGATGGAGAGCACGTGCGCTCCGGCCTTGACCAGCTCCTCAGCAATATCCAGGTAGTAGGGCAGCGTGTACTTGGTGCGGCTCGGGTCCGAAATGTCGCCAGAGTAGCAGATGGCCGCCTCGACCACGCCGCCGGCAGTGCCTGCCGCCTCCACACCCAGCAGTAGGTTCGGTATGTAGTTCAGAGAGTCGAACACACGGAATATGTCCATACCGGCCTGCACGGAGAGGTTGCAGAACCTGAGGGGGAGATGGGCGGTCAGTGGGTCATCGAGCAACTGGTGAAAGCGATCGAGCGGACGATAGAAAGGCACTACGAAGGAGAATCAAGTATCTATCTAGCGTTTGTATTCGGGTAACCTCTAACACATGGGTGCTGTCGTCCGTAAGGCATACACTTTATATCATAGCACCGAAAATCAACTTCAATTAGTCTGTGAGACCACAGCTGCAGATAAGCCCGGTTCGACACGTAAAAAAAAAACGGTCGCATCACGACCAAATTATTGCTTTGATCTCCTACACCAATGCACCAGAAGTCAACTATTCTCCAAACTATCCATACGTTGTTCACTCACTCCTTGACCACGTTGTCTGGGTAGCTGGTGTAGCCGACCCCGTTGGCTCCCCGCAGCAGCATCTGGAAGGGAATGTTGGGCACCATGCGGCGCATGTCCGAGAGCCGCTGCCACGGACACTCGTGCAGGAAGCGCATGGCCACGTCGAACGTGGCGCCGCCCCAGTTCTCCAGGGCGTACAGGTTGGACAGCTTGTGGCTCACATAGGGGGAGATCTGAAACGGCAGAGGGTAGGGGTGAGTATGGAGTTGGTGCACACAACTCGCAATTACTCAATGAATCGGCTACAGATATCGAGCAGGCTTCACCGAAAAGCGAATGAAAACTGTGTCGCCAGCCTCCTAAGTCACCCTAAATCTCTGAAGTCCTTCCCAAGTCCTCCTAAGTTCTCCCAAGTCATCCCGAGTCCCCCGAGTCCTCACCTACCCCCTCTCCACCCACTCACTCCCCAACAGCCTCTAAAACCACTTGTACCCGACTCTCCACCACACCACCACACCTCCCTACCGCACCCACCTTCAGCAGATCATGCGAGCGGACGCGTGTGGCCAGCAGCGACTGGTGGGCGTCTCTGAACGTGGTGTCCATCAGCAGAAGACCCGGGTGCTGGCGCACCGCCTTGGCGAACCCCTCGGGGCCCTCCGTGTCGATGATGTACTTCCAGCCGCGCGGCGGCTCCGCGATCACTGAGGTGGCGTGCAGAGAGGGAGGTGGGAGGTCAAATACAGAGCCAAGGGGCACGGGCGAGGGGTGAGGGGCGGGGAAGCTAGAGCCTGAGTCTCGAATGGGCAAGATTGGATTTTTGTCTGGTTTTCAGGTGCCTATCTACAATGCTTCTGAGCATTTGCAGGTGTGAGCTTTTGTTTCTCACGACGCCACCAAAGCCAAGCCGAGTAAATATTGAGCCAATATTTTGAATAAAACGTCAAGAAAATAAAGAAGGAAACCTACAAAATCCAGCCTAATACATCAAGTATGTTTCATCGTGGTTCAACGCAATCATGATCTAAGGGTTAGTTTATTAAATTTCGAACATCTTGTAACGATTACCACTGTACTGGCGTTGGCACAAAGATATATACAGCGAGTTGTGCAATATGTCCATATTTACTCGTACAGTACACCCTATGGCCACCCTGTATGTGAGGCGTGTGACCATCACCAAGAGCATGAAAGACCGCAGCGTTCTTATTTGCAGCGATTGTTCAACGGGGTATGGGCAATGAACATGACGAGAATGGATGATCTAAAGAGTCCTAAAGGCTATTTGTCTTAGATGTAAAATGTCTTTTTGAAAGAGGAGCGATAGCAAAGAGTGACGATACTTACATCGGCTCTGTACCGCCATGACCATCATTACGCGTATCTCCGGAGCACAAACGTCCCATCACCATCCCGGATATATCGGCAGCACGAGCAGCTCTAGGTACGACCGCGGGGCGGGCAGGGAATGAGGCGAAATAGGCGATCCAGTTTCAATATTGCAGAATGGTGTAACAGGATCTAACATGGAAAAAGATCAGTTATACTCATATAGGCATAATTGTAGAAAAGCATCGTGCATAAGAAGATGGATTGAAAGGAATAAATACATATGGTAGGCGCGTAACACATCAGTTCTGCATCAACGACGAAACTAGTGGACTGGCTGCTGAGAATGAAAAGACGAGCAGGCGAGAACAGGATTACTGGGATAATGAGGGAACAGGCAAAAACAGTCTCGAAGGCTGAATCAGTTGACGTGAGTCATGAGTCATTCAACAGGCAATGAACAACATACTTCAGGATATCAGTACCGTCAATCGGTCGCTAAGTTACGGGCAGTTTGATGTCATTTAACGAGTTTATAAAAAGCATGTTTGAATGACGGCAATGGACGTATCAGTCAACTGTTTCAGCCTTCGGGCCTGGAGCGTGTGTAAGCCAAGCATAAAGCGCGTCAAGGCAGCCAGAATACAGATAAATATTTGACCTACTTGAGTAGGCTTCGGGTGACGACGAATCTGCAACATCGGTGTCGGTCAGGCACGGCCGATAACAGGCAAAGGTCAAGGGTCAGCAGAGGTCAACGAAGGTCAAAACAACAAGACAAACCAAACGCATGTTAGCTCAAATCGCGTATTGAAGGAGGGCAGACAGAACAGGCTGCTTCGAAACAGACAGGCGCAACAAGTACCAAGGGTGATTATTTAATAGAGGCTTCGACCTAGCTATGCTAACATTGCTAAGTGTGTGTGTTTCGGACTAGGGTTAAAATCTACAGGAAACAAGCATTCCGGACAGACACACCCAGTGTAAGAAACAGTTAACACCCGGACAGGCAGTCACGAAAGCGAAACTACTCACTAAAAGGTTACTAAATAACTAACAGCTACCCCACCGGTCGGGAAGGAGCCCACACACCCAGCACTAGCCCCCCCCCCCCCCCCGCGGGACGTACCGTCAACCTCTGGCGGCTGGACGTGCACCACGGCCGGCTGTAGCGGCGTGGCCAGCGGCGTGCTCGGACCATTGACCAGCACCTGGCCCAGGTAGTTGAGCAGCTTCTGCGCCCGGTTCTGCGACGGCTGGTACTGGAACAGCTGCGGGTTCTCGTCGATAAAGTTGGTGTCGATGGTGCCAGAAAGGAACTTCTGGTTCTCCAGCACGTTCAGCAGGAACGGAATGTTTGTCTGCGGGGAAGGAGAAATGGCGTCAGTGGCCGACTTGCGGTCTCTCAATAGTGATGGGGTGTGGCGCCGAGGCCTGAGCCTATCACCCGAGCGAACCTTCCACTACCCAAACCAGCAGCTCGCCGCGTTGTTACAAGCAGAAGAGCTACAAACAGTGAAACTACTTCCAAATCTTCCAGCGCTAAGCGTTCTAGATTTGGATCTCCGTCAGGCACCAGACGTCCTTTCTAGCTAGCCCAAACCCGATTCCATCCCAAATCAATTGCTTCGGTCTGATCATGTCCCGTACCCATGCACTCGACCTGACGTGAAGTTCAGGAGTTCTGTCTCCCATCCAATCTATCCCCACCCACTCTCAGCAAGCCCCTCCGCCGCCCTCACCTTGACTCCTCGGATGCGGAACTCTCTGAGGGCGCGGTTCATCTTGCTGGCGGCCGCCTGAACGTCCCTGGCCGTGGCGATCACCTTCACCAGCAGGCTGTCGTAGTAGGGCGATATGATGGCACCGGCGAATGCCGACGCGCCGTCCAGGCGGATACCCATGCCCTCGCCGCTGTCAGAGGGAGAGAGGGGGGGGGGGCGTTAGAGCGACGGTCTCACTGAGATGAGATGGTATAGGATAGTTAGGTGTTTCTGTTGTCCGCTAGAGAGCAAGTGTCGGATTAGAAACCGAATTTTCATGAGGTTACGACTGTGTTGATGGTACCCATTGTGACAAGCCAAGCCGATTAACGAAGTTGCAGTCGGGCACAGACAAAAATCTTCTACAGGTCATGCTGTATAGACGTTAATAGCAACACGAGATAGAAAAAAAAAACATCTATTCATCAAGCTCCCATCAGGCTCGATACGCCGGTGCCGTAGCGGTGCGTCCGTCGATCCCTCACCTGCGGAACACCTCGATGCGCCCGGTGTCGGGCTGGAATCCCCGCGCCGGGTCCTCGGTGGTCAGCCGGCACTGAATCGAGCAGCCGTCCGGCTCGATCTTGTCCTGCGTCATGTCCAGCTCCTGCAGAGTCAGACCCTCGGCCACGCGGATCTGGGTGGCCACCAGGTCGATGCTGCCGGAGGAGAGGGCGTTGCAGATGTTAGTGGGTGTGTCATCGGGACCAAGGCAGTGGAAAAGGCAGCATGTTTAGCTGCAGTAGGCTGTGATGTTTAACGCATTATTTCCGCCATCAAGATGACGAACAACGGTATGGAGTACTACAAGTAGAGTAGGGTGAAGTCGTATAAGAGTACGCACTTAGTGGATTTCTTGCTCTCATTTGTTTAATATTTGAAAGAAAGAAATCGCAAATAGGGAATATTAAACTTCATTGAATTAGCCATCAACCCATGGGGCAACGATCCTTCAGCGTAAATGGAAGTGGTCTAAAACTGACATTTTCTGAACCGCTGCAGTTGCGTACTCTTACCATATGGGGTGTGTAAGAGTACGCACGCCAGGCGGGTGGAGTACGCAAGCATATGAACACACACCTATGCAGCTTGTACTGTCCAAATGCTTAACTTCAAACTCAGAAGGCATTTAAGTTAATTCTAGCATCCAAAAAGAAAAGCATAAAATAAATCTTTCAAGTCTATAAATCAGGAAATAATCATGTCGTGTGTTTCTAAAAAAAATGCACAATCAAAAGGGAGAATAACTCGTATTTGGAAGAATTTCGGGTACGCATCTGCATCACAGTGCTCCATTGATGATATACCTACAAAACAAACGTCATTGAGCGATAGATTAATAATTTTATATTTCTGTATATTCGATTTAATGTATAATTCTGCGTACTCTTACCCTCCTGAACAGTGCGTCCTCTTACCGTACATGCAATTCGCTCACAAAACAACCCCGAAACGTTGTGCAAAACTTCGCAAACAGAATATTGCACTGCACAGTATTTCCCCAGATAACCTCACAAGTTTCCCACAACAATCACGGAAATGTACCTTATCTCAACTGCCAAGTATCAAAATTATTGTACCATACCAAAATAATATCATAACGCTCGAAAATAATATTCATCGCCTTAAACTCAACAGCGTCGCCGCTCAACGCCCACGTTCCATTGGTGACAAGCACGCACTAGCGGCTTCATGTCACTTCATGAACTCGACAAACCCGCGTTGCTAAGCAACCGAAACAGCTGATGCGTACTCTTATCGCCCGCGTACTCTTACCCGCCCTTACCCTACTTTTGAACTCAAGTGGAGTACTTTTGGCAAAAGTACTTTATACTCTAGTGTCAGTAGTCGATTAGTACTCATAGTCGAGTACTTTTGGTAAAGGCGATGAATACCCCTGACGCTCGATAACCCCGTCCCCCACCCCTCACTCACCCTGTGATCTCCTCGGTGACAGTGTGCTCGACCTGCAGTCGCGCGTTCACCTCGATAAAGTAATACTGGCCCTTGTCGTCCAGCAGGAACTCCACCGTGCCGGCGTTCTCATAGCCGACGTGTTTGCAGAGTTTGACGGCGTCGGCAGTCATCTGGTCGCGGACCGCCGGGTCGAGGTTGGGCGCCGGAGCGATCTCGACCACCTTCTGGTGCCGGCGCTGCACGGAACAGTCACGCTCGTACAGGTGCACCACGTTGCCGCTCTTGTCGCCCATCACCTGCACCTCGATGTGGCGGGGGTTCTCGATGAAGCGCTCAATGAACATGGCGCCGTCACCGAACGCAGCCTTGGCCTCCGAGGTGGCCCGCTGGAAACTCTCCTCCACATCCTGAAAAGAGTGGGAGAAGGTCAGAGGAAGATTACTTGAGGTCAGGGAGAGAGCGGGACATAAGCGAGAGCAGAAAAAGGGGAGATCAGACGATAAAAGGGAGTGGATATTATATAGAAGGGTATTATTCGTGTGATTCGTTGATTCGTTGAAACCGATGGAACGCTGCAAGACAAGCGTGGTTAACCAGGAGGAATATAAACGATCGCCAAGGCGAGCGGGTTGGTTTGGTAACATATAAACATTAGTTGGCGAAAGTAACCTTTGAGACTACTTGACCATTGCAGAGAGGCCAGACGATATATTTCATCAGCATGTTTACTTGAAATCCAAACAAACTGAGGCAACGTGCGCCAAGTGGTACCAAACGCAATGCAACGCACAATATGCTGAGTGTGAGCTCTCAATTACATCTTATTTCATATAACTAAGTATTATCAAAACAGAAGCTCGAAACGAAAACAGCGCATTATCAAAAGCCCCGGCTGGAAGGGGCATAAGCATACCTAAATGATATGATACGTATACGAATACGAATATTTCTCACTAGCATTGGACCCATGGGTGTATGTTTACTGTGCCCTAAATCGGAATATCCAGTAAGTATAGCTGATCTAAGACAATTGCGCAATACTGGCTACATTGTGCAACACATCGCCGTGAACTTCGCCCCGGCCTGGAGTACACAAGGACCGACAGACGCGCCGTATAAACACGACAGTCGCAGTGTCGCAACCGACCGCGATACAGCTGACGATGTATCGCTCTGAGCTGGTGCCAGAAGCGACGTGAGCATGGCCCAAAGGACGTCATACGACATGGGGACAGACGCGCCAACAGGCTGTGACGCATGTGAATGGGCTATTTTGGGCGACAGCGCCGCGAGCGTTAACAATGAATGAGTGAGCGGGCTAGATCAGATTATTGACGAGTTTTGAATGCATCGGCAGCACTCCAGCCAGTGTGTTGGGCTGGAGGTCATTTACAAACAAAGCGGGATTAGAGTTTTAGTCATCGGGATAGGCCCCGATAGTAAGAACGGTGACGTTGGGTTATCGGTTAGAAACTTCCCAGCGTGGTTAGAGCTTGCAGATCGGAGCCATGATCAGGAATTTGCACAACATGTAGTGCAGCACAATTTGCGCAACAGGCATTGAATACCTTGCTGTTTTAAATCCAGACTACCCGGATTGCATTTGAAATAGCTAGGCGGCCTTACTTCGCATCAGAGACGGGGGCGCCAGTGGCCACAGCCCCCGCTCTCCCATTTGAACCCTGCGCCCTTCCCGGGTCACCTTCTAACGCTCTACTGACGTCAGCGACACGCCCTCGCCGCAGCCAATCAGCGGCGCAGCCGCCGCTGACGTCACCTCACCAGCAGTAGCCGGCCGGCGGCGTTTGAAACCTGTTTACCGCAGCGTTAGTGGAGTCCGCGGCGGCAGCTCAGCCCGGGTTCTGTTACACGATATGACAGGCAGTTTTCGAGCGTTCTGCTTTCCATCATGTAGTGACAAGCAGTACGCGGGTTCTGGATTTGTGCGCTAGCCGCGCGGAGACGGCGGCAAAAAGTTTCGACGAACAAACACTGAGCGCTGATGGTAGCGGAACGATTTCCGGTTGGTTGTGCGATACGGCAATAGAGACGTTTTTGCTTGTTCGTAGTAGCCTGAATAGTACCTAAAGATTATAAGCAACGTAATCTTGCCTAGTGCTGACATTGTCATTTTTGATGGATGGAGCCAACGTGGGCAGCTGGGTGTTGACACTTCATACAGAACAAGCCTCCTGGGGACACCGTTCCGCATTTTTAGCACCGAGCGTCCGCTCAATGCAATTTTTGGCACTTTAGGTAGCTGCCACGAAAACATACATGCGGAGACCACGTGATACGGCACTCCGTGTTTGGTAGGAGCATGCTGGGAGCACGTGGCCACACGAGATGTTCCATGGTCGGCGTAGATTATGGTATAACAGATCACGCTAAGTATACATACATATGTCTGAGCCGACAAAAAGACTACTACTACGAGTGGCTGACTCAATGTAGAACGGATTCGCTGATCTGTTGGACGACTGACGAGGCAACAACCTGACACTATATCGACCGCGAAATGATTGGGAAAGAAATGCCCCGGAAACCGGACATGACCTATGGGGCTATGGTCAAACTCATCCGAGGAGCAATAAGGTGTTTAAATCCTCACTCTTAAAGGCTGAAACAGATTCTTTCTGCATTCAGGAAATCGCATGCGAGAGTCTACTCAAATACATTATAATTCTGCCCGCATCAATCGCGTGCGGGAGGTGCGTGCGATTGATGCGAGCGTGCTCCCATGTATTTGAATAGGCTCTCGCATGCAATTTCCTGACTGCGGAAAGAGTGTTTCAGGCCTAACACACGAAAGAAAACATGTCCTTGTGCCTACCTCCATGTTCCTGACGACTCGCATGCCGCGTCCTCCGCCGCCGTAGGCCGCTTTGAAGATGACGGGCAGGCCATGTTTCTGACAGAACTGGACCGCTTCCTCAGTCGAGGTGACGGGGTTGTCGGTGCCCGGTACCACACGAACACCTGTAAAAAAAGACAGGGGACGGTAAGCAGGGAACCTACTGGGGTTTCACTGACCGGTGGTACATTCACGGGGAGATGAATTTAAACAACACAAGACGATTTTCTTAATGAGCTAGCGCAAACGATACAAAAGAGAGAACGTGATATTGGTGCGATGTCGATATTCCTTTGAGGTTCGTTAGTTAGTCCGGTTCATTTGGCCATGAAACAATACCATGTCCGTTATAAACACACGCCTTCTGATCTGAACTGTTCGCACACAGTCTGTGAGGTGTGACAGCACCCTTCACCGCGTGTTGACACAGGGTTCCTCTCCTGGCCGGGGAGGGGAGGGGTCTGCTCAACTCAAACCATGACGGCGTCTGTTATAGAGGTGAAGGCTAACAGATGTCCGCCTCCCGGCCAGGCGGGATTTGGGTAGCAACAGGAGTAGATTGGGAAAGAAGAAACGGTAGAAGGTGAGAGAGTCAAAGAGGAGCGAGGTTTGACAGACGCGCGATAAAATTCGGCTGATAAATCAATTTCACTAGTTCCACTGACCTCCCCGAACATTCTCGTGCTGCTATACCCACTGATGCTCCCTCCCACCCAACTCCCCTGCTGCCGCCTCTGGCCACCCGTCTAAGTGTCACGGGTCTGATCGATCCGAGAACGGCCCCCTCGGGTCACACTGACACCTGTGCCAGACTGCCAGCAGTCACTGAGGCACCACGGCCGGCCGGGGGTCATTAGACCGGAACGACCCGCGGAGACGGCGGAGAGGCTGGTCGGCTGTGGGGTCACCCGGTGCTCAGAGGTAGGGTCACGAGAAGGTCATGTGAAGGTCATGAACCATGGCACGTGGCAGCAGCCAGGGCGGTCACCACTGTGTTATGTAAGCGGACGAGTGATGATGTAAAAACTGACAACGGAACGTGGGTGGAGAATTTCGAACGGTGGAAATATACCGGACACGGGACAAACGACACTGAAAGAAACAGTCATGGATGAATCTGGTATACCGAGAACACTGAACAACATAGTCAGGAACGTCAAACAAAGGAAAATAACGGACACATACCCACACCAGAAATGGGGAACCCTTACTCAGTCGTATGCACAATGAGCTTGACGAACTTGCTGTCCACCATAGTCTCATGCTGTGAGCGTCGCAAACTGCAAGCGTTGTAAGCTGTCTCAGGTTTACGGTGCCAGGTCAACTTACGATAATCATCCGCACTACGTGATCACCATTGACCAGTCCCCTCCCCCTCATTTTTCTCTGACTGACCTGCCTCGATAGCAGCGCGCCGGGCGGCCACCTTGTCTCCCATGCGTCGCACCACCTCGGGCGAAGGACCGACGAACCTCATACCGGCGTCCTGACACGCCTGTGCAAAGTCGGCTCTCTCCGAGAGGAACCCGTAGCCCGGGTGGATCGCGTCCACGTCGTTGTGCTGCACGGAGGTGGAAGAGGGTTTGTTGTCAGGGTGGCTGGTTGGTTGATTAGTTGGTTGGTTGAGGAATCTGAAGATTACATTGGGCACGGCGGGTCAGTCCACATGTGACTAGCTATAATAGTGCAAGCAAGTGGTGATCGACCAGCTTACAAAGAGCCGATGAGCAATGGACATTCAATAATCCTATGATCAGCAGCGAAACACCCTTACCAAGAAGTCATCTATCACACACCTTCTCGTTAAGCTGTTCAATGTTCATTCACACCCACTCAATAAACCATTTCAACCCCGTTCCCCCATGCAGAAGTGCTGCTCCGTACCGATGCCTCCCGGCGCGCCTTTCCGCTCACCTTGGCCACCCGGATGATCTCTGGAATGTTGAGGTAGGCCTCGACGGGCGGCAGGCCCTTGCTGATGAGGTACGACTCGTCGGCCTTCAGACGGTGCATGTGCATCGTGTCCTGCTCAGAGTAGACGGCAACAGAGCGGATACCGAGCTCCGAGCAGGCGCGCATCACGCGGATCGCGATCTCGCCTGGGGAGCAGAGAGGTTTTTGTGTCTATAACCCGGCCATCATCAAACAATAATGGTAGGGATGGGGGGTCAAATCTAAGGAATCAGCACTCAGGAAGTCAAGGTAGTTCTGTCTTCTGTTAAAATTCAGTAGTAAAGATGTAGCCTGACAAATGAAAGTAGTAAGAACCTTTTTAACACTCTGGAGTCTGGAGTCTGGAGGCCATCTTTTTATCTCTGAAGCCCACTGTAAGGCAAGGACTAGCTCTGACAGAAGTTTGCTCCTGTTTCATGAAATACAAACAGCACACACTTTATGCAATATTCAGCAAAAAAGTGATTGACATTCAATATGAATCATGGTCCAAATAATTGGCTGGTCATTGTTTGGCAAATAAGGCTTGTTGATGCCCAAACTCCCACAAGTTGGTGAAAAAGTACCTTATAACTCATCTCTCAGCTGGTCTCTATTCTCCTCACCTCTGTTTGCAACCATCAGCTTCTTGATGGGTTTATACTCAATGGGCTTGGTGGACTGGCCCCTGGTCCATGAGAGCAGGGCGATCCGGCCGGAGCCGGACAGCACATGGTTTCCCTGGAGCACCCTCAGCAGCATGGTGGCAGCACGCTCCCACACCTAGGACAGCTAGACAGGCACACTGGCTGGAAGACAGTCGACGAGACGGGGAGATGCAGAATGAAGATGATGCCCTAAACCAGCAGCACTGGAGTTAAAGAACAGGCACACTGAAACATAAAGGAAACAGTTTTTGCATGTCAATTTGTAGCACATAAGTGACAAAACTATGCTTCACCACAAGATCCGTTCACCATTGAAATGGTCTTTTTACTTTGCATCAATTGCTGTAGAATTTGGGCAAATGCATAGAAAATTTACTGAAAATATGAATAGAAGCTTTGATGAGTGTCAATAAGTGCGTATTTATTCAAAAATTATATTTTTAGAAAAGTAAAGCTATATTTTTAAGACAAAAATAAACCATAAATTACAAAAAAAATAACACAGCTGTCATATCTGTAGCAAGCATTGGCTTAAATAACTATGGTTGCAAGTTGCAACCACAGCCAGTAGACCTCAAACTGGACCCTGGGAACGCCGGGAACGGTGGCGTGGAAATGCCACCCATCCTTCACACAACTGAAAACTTCTATAAACCGACCCTCCCAATCCAGTTTTAACGACTCACCTAGGCTCACCCTACCCAGTTAGCCCTATCAAATGAAAAACGACTAGCAGAAGACAGACACTACACCTCCAGAAACCCTGTGCATAAACATAAACGCGGAAGCCGGAGCGATTGTTGTTCACGCGATGCACGCGTGGTTGGAGAACGGCTCGGGTGCGCAGGCGCGCCAGTTCCTGGCAACAACCGACGAACGACGACGGAGGTACACCCACGTGTGCTCAGTATCACATGGCGAATCACCCGAATAGAAATCCAGACACAGTTCCTTGAAAGACTTCAACCAAAGTTCAACCACGGTCATAGAATACTAAGGTAACACGGAGCCGAAGCTTCAAGCCAGGGGACACGGGAGGCATGCCGTCAGCTGTCCTTTTATAAATAATCGGTTTCTTTGACTTAATTTCTAATGTTTTTCTGATGTTTTGCATCAATGAGGTACATCAAAAATTAGGTTTTATTTTTTATGAGGTCGAAAATATTTTGTTGTCCAAACTATCCCCGTTTAAAGAAAATAGACAAGGGGAGAGTTTACCCAGGACCCTATGGAGAGAGTTTACCCAGGGCCCTATGGGAGAGAGTTAACACGTGCTTCTATGGGGCGAATTCGATGCAACAATGGCGCAGTAGCGACATTACTCTTGTTCGATGTTTTTCGGACGACAAAGATTCTACGCCATTCGGCCAATCACATTCCATAATTGCAGCCGAGCCCCCGTTGATCTAGAACGGGATTGGCCGGACGACGTACAATCTTCGTCGTCTGAGAGACATCGAACGAGGGGTACATCGACTGAATATACATTGCGATTCAATATTCAGTATTTTATGACCGTGATTGCAATCCAAATTTGCATTTGAGCTCAGCAGTCGAGTGTGGTGCCAAAAATACCAGAAGCGATATCCTATATACGGCCTTGACCAGAAGTGTTGCATGCCCTGGATGCAGAAAAACAAGATTGAGATGAGTGGATCAAGATGTATCTTTCGTGCAGATGTATCAAGATCCTTTCACTTAATATCCATGCAGGTGAGGTTCCAGTGAAATTTGAATTCGATAGGTAGCTATTTTTGATTTTGCTTTGATACTTGTGGTAAGGAAACATGATAATGGTAGCATGAACCGCCCACTGCTCATTGCTGTCTTGTCTCACGTTTGATATCCGTCATCCGATCACCATTCTTAAATAGCTCACCCCATATGGAAATCAGGTTTCAGGAGGCCACTAGGCTTGTGGGGCCTGGTCTCAATGAGCTCCCAGTGCTAAGGACAGTCAGGCTCATATGTTGGGTAAGGTCAGGTTCAGGTAGGCCAGTATGCACTCTGCAAAGCATGGCAATTTCGACAAGATCTCGTCTGTGCTGGCTTGTCGGGCTGGTGAGGCTTTGGTGTGGCATGGATTTAGCTTGGTGCAGTGCGGATTTTGTGTAGCGCGGTGCAGATTTGGTCTGGTGTGGTCAGGTGGTGGGGGATGTAGTGTAGTGCATTTTAAATGTGGCTGATAGGTGTGCGGTGGTCAGAACGGACTGTGCCAGTGCTGGTGCCTGGTGGTCCCACCAATCACGGGGGTCATCTCCTGTTGTGACCCAGGGCCCAGGGGGTCTAGTCAAAACCTTACCTATTTCTGCTAACCTAAACCTATTTCTTACAAATTAGGCATAAATGTGATTATGGTATAATGATAATTAAACCTGGCCCTTTTTCAGGCGCAAGCTTTGGATGAACTTCTGCTTCTGCGGTCGGCATTCTTACAGGAGAACCCAAGATTCATTGTACCTACCTGTATGCATTTCAAAACTGAATAATTGATAGCAACAAGTAAATATTTGAAGTTGCAGCCAAATGCTGTGCCTTCTCTGCTGCAAGAGCTACATGTCACCATTGAAGCAAGGTAGTCCCCATTGCCATGTCACCATTGAAGCAAGGTAGTCCCCTCCGTGGCCGAGTGGATTAAAGCGCCGGAACTCGACGCTTAGCCGGTAGTGAGAGCCCGGTTCAAGCCCCGGTGCGGGCGGCCACATTTAGCTCCTACGTGTAATGGCGTGCGTGTCTGTGGCAGGGGCCGCACAGAAGCCAGGTAACGTGAGTGAGCGGAGGGGGCCGTGTCCAGTCGTGAGGGCACGTTAAACGTTCGGACAAAATTCTGCCATACAGCTGGAATTGCGCGATCGGGTGGAGGGGTCAGGGTCAGCACAACAAGCTATGCTTAGTGCGGGCTCTGATTCCTCAAATCCACCCATTCAACCATTCGGACTAAATTTATTAAAAAAAAGTGTTAAAAGAAATTGTTCACCTTCTGTGAGTAACTTGATAAATAAAATTTAAAAAGTGTGTTAAAAATGTGATGAATAAAATTTAAATGTATTCTAACTTGGAATTATACACTTCTTCATTTCTAAAGGGATTTCATTATTTTAATGATTAGAGTGAACACTAACAGCTGAACAACCTATCAGCTGCAAGGGATTCTGCTCCCTTAAGTGCTCTCATCGCTGATTGGCCACTGTGTGTGTTGAAGAGGTTTCTGCTTGCTGTAAATGAGCACTAGAACATGAATTTAAGCACCAATATTCACTGATAAAAGGTGAATATCTCAAACGGTTCAAATATAAGGCATACACAAATCTGCTCTATCAGACTGCTATCTCAGTTTAAAATCCCATGTTAAAGGTGAACTATTTCCTCGACAGGACCAGCTCGACTCCTGCAGTAGGAGTCCAGCCTCGTCCAGTCGTCGCCGCTCGCCAAGACCAGCCGGACTCCTGCAATAGGGGTCCAGGCTGACCCGTTCGTCCAGTAACCGCCGCTCGTCAGCACCAGCTGGGCTCCTGTAGTAGGGGTCCAGCCTCGTCCAGTCGCCGCCGCTCGCCAAGACCAGCTGGGCTCCTGTAGTATGGGGCTAGGATGGCCCGTTCATCAACCGGTCCTGAAGTCACATCGCTGTCAGCCAGCCGAACTCAGTACATAAGTCACCAACCCTGAATGTTGCCAGCCAAAGTCGGCAGTTTCCTTCGGACAGTCATCTCACCAGTGTTGTACAGTGTACGAGGTTAGTGACGCAGTTAAATGCGTCAATTAAATGCGAGGACGTGCGCTTGTATGCAGCGTTTTGTCATGTTGAGCTGCATGGGTGTCGATTTTCACCGAATTGAGGGTGCCCACTGCCCGGGCGCAGCAAATCCGCCGCTGCCTTAGCGGTGACCTTGACCCGCACCGTCTGTTGGGGCTCCAAAGCCAAGCCAGCCGAGCCGGCGGGGAATTTAAAGAGCTTGAGCACCCCCAACCCGGCGGAAATTGACACCTATGCTGAGCTGTATGGATGCGTATTAGCCTTCCGCCGTGGTGGTAAATAGCAGCCTACATGCAGAATTAGGCAGGCTTATTAGCGGACTCGTTATTGGATTCATTGTGTCACGTTTGTCGGCACGTGTAAGATGTGCTTAACTGCCATTGGCTCTCGGCCTGGCGACTTCTGGGGACCACGTAATGGGGATGACAATTGGGATCCTGTGCCTTAAGCCGGCCATTTACGTCCATGGCTATATACCCTCGTACTAGGGCCAGTTATGACGTATATAGGGATCCACGAGATCTTTTTTGATGAATGGGTTGTGCAGTGTTGAGATCCGCGTGTAACGTCACTGTTTGGCCAGTCTGCCCTCAAACGCGTCATCTTTGCTCGTATTTTATTTACATGAACACTTTGCATGGTCCAGTGGTTTATATAGACATCTTCCTTGCACTAGCTAGTTTTATGTGGCCAGGTTGATTGCCTGTCAGCGCGGTCACGCTGTCGTCTTTCGATTGGTGCGCTTAAATGCGGCGAGATGAATGTAGGATTTCCCTATTTAGTACCTGCGCCCAGCTCAACTGGAGCCTTCGGACGGCGCACCTCTTGGCCGGCGTTGTTATCTGAAACTTATTATCTCGGGCGTATGTTGCAACTTGTTGATTGCCAGCGTCGTTGTATTACGTACGCGAAAGCAGTAGCGGCGGAACACCTTCGATTAAGGGGAAGGGGGGAGGCACTGCCGACTTTTGATCCCATTCTTTCCATGTAACGCCAATAGAGCCCATGTTAACCTTCGCCCTGGTGGGGGGGGGGCCATTTTGGCCCCCCCCCCCTGTGGTTTTTCAGCGATAACTCAGAAACCACTTGAGTTAGCGCCCTGAAACTTTGTATAGCTGTTTATTCAACATTTTTACATCATGTCCTTTTTTTGGGGGTTCGGGTCAGGTCAGGTCAGGTCACAAGGTCACCAAAACTGACACCACCTCTAAAAAAGTTCAAAGCTCTCTCAAAGGCACAGCTTTTATCCGATCGATGTAAAATTTACAGTACTTGAAGATGTCACCCAGCTCTACAAAATGGCTATCTCGGATTTTTTATAAATGTGACCTAAGGTCAGGTCAGGTCATCGCTGCTCCCCATTATAAGTCAATGGGAGAATCGAAAAGTAGTTGTTTTTCAGCTAAATCGGGCGTGATTGTTCCTATATTTCGTTATTGAAGTGTCTTGGGTCAGCAAATCACAGCCCATGTGAAACCATTTGCTTGTGACCTCGCTGAGGTCACGCTAGGTCATCTCCCTGGTCACCAGAGGTCACCAGCGGTTTTTCTGCACTTACTTGTTATTGAATAGAGATAGAGACTCCGTTCGACGTTTATCGTGTTTGTCTCGTCAATGCGGATCGAATGATATGCAGCATGACCTATTTCGGTAAGGTCATGACCTTGACCTGAGGTCAAATTTTCAAAATGACCTTTCGAGGTCAAACTATATATCATTCGACGCGTCTCGACGAGCCAAGCACGATGGTGCATGAATCGTTTCTCTATTTTCTCGTGAATGCATGCTATAGTTAAAAACATTTTCAACGAAATTTGCCAAGTTGACCTTGCATGACCTCTGTAGGCCAAACCGTTGAGCTGAGGTCAAATCTGACGAACCTTGGCGAAAGAGCTTGAAAAGAGCTATCGATTGCTTTTTTCCGCGGCTCTCTAGCTCTTCTAGTTTCCGAGCTACAGCGGAATATGTCCGGCAACACCGAAAACACTGAAATTTGACCTATGATGACCTCTAGCGACCTCAATATTGACCTTAGCGAAAAAATGACCGAAATACTTTCGAACGTACTTGTTATTGGCTTTCGTTTGCTTTTTTCCGCGTCTTCCTAGCCCTCTTCGTTTTCGAGTTAGACGGGGGGGGTCATTTTGGCCCCCCCCCACCAGGGCGAAGGTGGCTCTGACCCACACCAGGGCGCGGGTTAAAATGCCAAAATCAAAGGGGGGCACGGTGCCCCGGTGCCCTCCCCGTTCCGCCGCCTATGCGCGAAAGTACCAACAGTTTCCAGTTGTTTGTGTCCCAATGTTTTTTATGTTTTTATTATGTACAGGGACCGGTTGTCGATATCAATGTTGTCGGTTGTTACTGGACAGGACAGACGGCTAGACAAGGGATTCGTGTACAGTAGCAACTGCTGGTCCCCGTACCAGCATTGAAACTGACCACTACCAGCATTGAAACTAAATATAAGATATCTCAGAAGGTTGCGCTTTTGGAGTGAGTTGTGGTGCTTTACGCCGTACCTACATCATGCTTAATGAATGTGACCGTCGTGTTTGTGGGATCCCCGTCGGTACTAGTCAGCCCCACGAATCGTGGTAGATCATAAAATAGGCATTGATTTTAAAAGCGATTTTCCACGGCCTCTCAGCAGTAGCGGCAGAACACCTTCAATTAAGGGGGGGGGGGGGCACTGCCGACTTTTGGTCCCATTCTTTCCGTGCAACGCCCGGAAAGAATGGGACCAAAAAAGGGCTAATGTTAAAATGCCAAAAGTAAAGGGGGCACGGTGCCCCGGTGCCCGCCGCCCGGCCCGTTCCGCCGCCTAGTTATGCCTCTCAGGGTTGGTTCCAAAATGGGCACGGCCGAGGATAATCTTCGCCTCCAGTTATCATTTTGATATATCTACGAAACGGTTGCTGGGTGGTACACGAAAGCAGCTTTTTCAGGTGAGTTGAAAGGGGAAGAGGTTCTTTGAATTACCATTTCGGTCCATGGTTCTAAAAAGCGCTAGTTTAAAACTATTGTTATAATTCCTATCGTAAACCATCGGACGCTCGACGCTGCATTGGCATTGGTACGATGTACCGGTAATCGCTCGCCGAGAATGATTACGTGGCAGCTTTACTGATATGTAGGATTATCAATCAAATGTAATAGAAACGATATTAAATCCACTACCTCTTTAGAAGCTCGTGAAATAAGCCTGGCTATCTGGTTGTCGAAGCCAGGCAAATATATGCTTGGAATGGCATGTGCATTGTCCATGACCAGTGGCGGCGCCACGAATTTTCGCCAGTGGGGGCAAGCTTGAGACTGACCCGACTGTTGTCTGATAACGCCGATCTGCAAAATCCATGAGCACCTTGTCCCTAGATGTTGTCATTCAAAATTATTTTGGTTTCAGGTTTCATGCATAGGCGTATTGAGTTTAACCATTAACCCTCGCGGGCCCGGAGGGGGGGCGTTTTTCGCCTCCCCCTGGCGAATATTTGCGATACCTCACGAACGCTTAGGGATAGAAAGACGAAACTTGCTGTAGGGGAGAGTGGGGTAATTTGGCCGCTTTTTTAGGAAACGATGTAGGTAACTAAAAATCGACAACATATTTCTGCATTTTCTCAACGCTGACAGGTGTGGCATGCATTTTACTTTCTTGGACAGTAAACTTGACATGATAGAGTAACTACTTATATTGAAATTGTGACGTATTACAAAGGTCTGCAAAGCGGCCAAATTGCCCCACTAGCAAGTAGCAGGGTTATTTGGCCGGGGGTGTGGGGCAATTTGGCCGGTGTTAGTTTGAGGTGTTAGTTTGAAAAATGGTCCTGGAGCTACGGCAGTGGTACCTTCGCATTAGTCTTGTCGAGACGCGTCTAATGACATATATATTGTTTGGAAAAGGTAAAGTTTTATGTTGACCTCATGTGACCTCGAATGACATTTGGTTGATTTTTTACACATGGAAGGTCATTTGTGATGATTTCGTAGCCGCTAGTCACGATTCTGGGCCTCTGGCATCCATTTTGCTGTAAGCATTCATTTAGAGCCTCAGTATGGCAAAACATGTCTTAATTATTATGCCTGACTTGAATAGTGAAATAGCCTCTAGCAAGGATATTCTCTTGTGACTTTGACCTTGTAGCAGCCTTGTATCGTAAGCTAAAGCACAAATAGGGGTCCGCTAAGCTTGAAAACATATCAAATCATCTAGGAATTTAGTATACAAGATATATAAGAAAAAGTGCAAAGTTTGTGGTCAATTTTGAGCATGATCGTGACCTTGAATTTGAATGTTATGCACATGATCGGAATCCACGGATTCTCTTCTTTTGTTCAACATCCCTTTTAGCCGATTTTATGCACCATGCCGTCCTCTGGAACACGTACTTTGAGACCACTACATAAATGCCGGTTTTTGCCTTTGACCTTGAATTCTGACCTTGAAAACTGACCTGAGGTCAAAAAGTTTAGGTGCTTTAGAATCTTCTCATAGATACTTTTCGTTTGGTACCATTTTTGTTTCCGAGTTAAACAGGGGGGAGGGCTACCCCGGGCTGCGGTGGTTAGGATTACTCACGGGCCCGGCCGAAATAAAACTATAAAACTAGATTGCGAGACACAAACCTGTGAAAACGTTATGTTGTTCGTTGAGATGTAAAATGGTGTGTTCCTTAAAACTATACTCAGTACCTATGTCTCCTTTTCCCCGTAGTACGTATATATGTGCGATTCTCTCACATACGATTGATATAGGTACGAGAATAAGCTCCATTAGGGCGACCCACATACAATTCCAGATAACCGCGGGATATACATACCCATCACATTTTGTCATACCTCTCTGAGCTCAGTCTCAGTCTAAGGGTTCCCAAAAGAGGGTGATCTCTTCTCTGGCCGACTTTTGATAAACTGCTTCTCAACCTCCTCGAGATCAAGCTCGAGGGCAGCCTTTTGGTGAATGAAAATGAGTAGGAGAATGAGTGGGAGTAGGAGATATGCGACAGACGGTCCGAGAACGAACGTTCTGCTGACGCACTTGATACGAGGACCGTCAAAAACAGGCGTACTATTATAACCGCCTATAATGAATGTTGCACCGGTCTTCTGTTCTCATACATCAGCCAAATTTTGTGGGGGCAAAAACATAGTCTTGCCCCCACAGCCTCCTGCCAGTGGGGGCAGTCTGCCCCCACTGCCCCCACGGTGGCGCCGCCCTTGTCCATGACATCATTTAATTGAATTATTTTCCTTCTTAGCACTTAAAATACATTCCAGCGACACAAAACTCCCAAAAGTCTGAAATCTTGCCCGTGGTATCGTGGTACGATCGGCGAGTACCTTCCTTCGCAATGTCCATGGCTATGCGAAGTCTAAGGTTGGCCTACATAGCCTTGGGTTGGCCTATGGTATTGCCTGTTTATCCTATTTCATATCGTATCTATGAAAATGAAGTGTTCACGATCGCATAGCGAAACTTAGAGCAAAATATTTATTTGCAAAAATCCGGCAATACCCCTCGCTTGATACGATAAAAAAACATTGCACACGATCATGCGAAGCCGTGAATCCTACCGCTTTTATTTAGCGCTGGCGTTCCCGCGTTAATAATTTCTCCTGAATCGGAGGACCAATAATCAGCTGACGCACCGTTGTTTTGATGTCGGCGGACCGTGCCAGCCTGAGTTCAACGAGAAATGCAGGAACGCTGTAACCCGTCCACACACCTCCACGACAATCACGTGTTGTTTGTTTACTATTCCAAGCTCAGAGAAAACCAACAGCTGATTCCCACTTCTTCGAATAATTTTGCTGCCACAAGTTTCTACAGGCAATTTAATTTGTATTTTACCTCTATGTATTGAACTAACATGCGAACAAACTGAAACGAACCCTTTTCAAATAATCCGCCTGGACTGATCTCGAGGGAAAAAATAATTGCTAAGGGATCTGCGAACTGGGAAGCCGTGTATATAGGTAGCGATAATAATGTAAAAGTTCTTCCCTAAATAAATTCTGGCAAAAAGTTTTTAGGTAAGTAGGTAGGTAGGTAGGTACTGCATCGCTTTACGGCATCGTGTTTTCTTCTTAGAAACACATCGAATGAGCTAGAATTTGACGTTAAACTACTTTTCTAGACCCCCTGTCCCCTGAACAGAAGGGTTATATTTCATACATATCAGCTTATTCGTAATGCCTGCAGCGGAACATTACACCTTCATTGTGTTTCATTCTTCTAACACGTCTTTTTTCAAAAGTTGATAAGTTCTCGTTAAAAACGCCTGGCGACCTTTGTATGACCTAACATGACCTCAGCGGTAGATAACCGATATAAAATCTGCCAGGTTTAGTAGCAGTCCAGCCAGGGTCCTTTAAATATTTGGACATATCTACGTCCTAACTTAGTTCTAAACGCACAGTGCTTTGCGATACCTATATCAGTCTCACAATAAGCAAACACGAGTCCATGCTACAAACGGTCACCGCATTCGGACCGGATGACGTAAAAAGCGGCGAGACCAGTAAGCCTAATGCGACTGCTATAACGATAACGACGTGGACGGCTTGGTCAACAGGTACGGATTTGATTTACCTATCATTGGCCTTGCTGGTGCCCTTGAAAGAACTCGTCCCGATCAGATACCTATAGACGGCGTCAACAGTCGCAAAATAAACGTGTTGCAATGCTTTGACGACGTCGATTGAGATATACCTACAGAACAATGGCATCCCGGGACCCGGACGCCACGCCCACGACTACCTCGACCAAGATGGTTTCAAGACGATAAAATAACTATAACTCAAACTTGAACTCTAGGACCGGACACGGTGGCGAACAATTTATTGAAACACATGGCGATGGTACCCCCTTTGAGCGGGTTTGGTGGACCTGAAAGAACGAGTTACGACAAACGAAAGGCACTGAAACAATGACAGCGTTTTAATGCAACCATACTTATCTGCTAAATCTATCGAGAAGAGCAAGGTGAGAAGACCCAGCGAGAGATACTTGGCAGCCTCGTATACCTACGCCAGGCCTCGTACAAAACTCGTTGGGCCGCTGACGGCTGAGCGCATTATCTACCGAACTTCCCTTCCCGAGCCTAGCAAGCAGCTTAGGTCCCGTTCAGCTCCCGCAGCCACTCACCAGCTCCAGCAGCTCCAGCAGCTCCTGTAGCCCCAGCAGCTCTCAGCCCAGCTGCGCCCCTCCGGCAGCTCCACCCGTCCTACACTCCGAGGCCCCTTGTCGTACTGCCGGCGCCCCGTCAGCCGGTCGGTCGGTCGGTCCACAGCGAACCACCGCGGGCGGCAGCAGCGGCGGAGCCAGTCTGCCGGCCCGAGGTGCCGCCCACCTATACAGGCTCGCCTGCCCGCCGCGGCGCAGTAGACCGACCGTTCTGGGATGGTCCAGGGACGCTCCTGCGCCATAGCATAGAGCTACGGACAAGGCCGGGGTGCTGAGATGGACTATAATCTGACCGTGAAATGTGGAAATGCTTCGATGAATGAACGGTTACCTATGATCGTGCCTTTTCAACGCCAAAACAGGTGTCAGTGTTGTTGCCTCGGCTGATGTCTCAGAGCGGATATATTTATTTATTTATTTATTTATTTCACATCATCAGGTATTTCCACACAAAATGGGCTATTCCAATACCCTCGTCATACAATGTAACACCGCACGGTATAAAAAAAAACAAGTTATAAAAACACACACACACACATCTTCATGAGAACAAAATCGCGGACACTTAAAATAAACTAACTATGTAGTCACGAAAAAAAAATCACGATGCATCAGCCAACATTTTGCGAATGTGGCGCTTAAAAGAAGTCATGCTAAGGTGGTTCACATGATGATCTATGGCGAATGTGTTATACAATTTGGATGCACGATAGATGAATGTACGTTTTCCATGGTTGTTGCGGGGGCGAGTGGTTGAAATATGATCCGACTGCCGTGTTCTTCGAGAGCTTGATTCATGATTAAACAACAGTGCTTCACGCAATCCTATTGGTACGTCCAGCGATAAAATTTTATGAATCATGCACATGTCAAAATAGTCAACTAGCTTTGGAACAGTGAGCCAACCTAAGTCTGAAATGACATCCGAAACATGGTCGTATTTCCGTCGACCGGAAATAACTCGTGCTGCGAAGTTGACTATTTTTTGTAGTTCGGTCAGTACATTTTTGCCACAGCTACCATACACCTGCGCACAGTATCGAATGTGAGAAAGTACAAGAGAATCGACGATACGAGGTAGAACAGAAGCCGGTAGAGTATGTTTAACGTGCGAGATTCCAATGAGAATGTCAAAACATTTGTTAACAACATGTTGCACGTGGCGCTCCCATGACAGGTTTGGGTCCATTATCACACCTAAGTTCCTCACGCTCTCGGTAGACATCACCACTTCACCCATGAATGACACTTTTGGAACTTCATCTAACTGGACTAATTGCCGTCTGTCACCGAAAACCATCAGTTCCGTTTTACTAGGATTAACCATCATACCGTTTTGCATAAACCAGTTACTCAAGATACCTAAAACTTCTTCCATAGCACACTGCATATCCCGAATTTTGTGTCTCGACCCGGTTAGTGCTAGCTGAGTATCATCCGCATACCTGATTAAAGTTACTCGGAAACCGTTCACAGAGGACGGAATGTGACATGCGATGTCATTGCTTAGAATATTAAACAATAAACTTCCTAACGTTGAGCCCTGGAAGCATCCCACCGATATCGGTAAGGGTTCTGATAATTCGTCGCCGATCCTTACCCTCTGAGTATGTCCCTCGAGGTAGCTCTTGAACCACCCTGTCCTAATCTGTAAGAGACTCAATTTTTCAAGAATAGTACTATGATCGACCACATCAAAACACCGACTTAAATCTAAAAGAGCTAGCAATGAAATTTCCGAATTGTCCATACCTTTCAAAATTTCGTCAGTCATTGATACGAGTGCCGTTGCCGTGGAATGATTTGGCATAAAGCCATGCTGATCGATGGTGAATAAATGTTGCTGAGTCAGATAACTAGTCACCTGGGTGTGAACTATTTTTTCAATGATCTTACAAATGACACTCACAATGGTTATGGGTCTAAAATTCGCCGCTTCTGAGGGGTCATTTCTTTTGTGCAAGGGTAGCACCTCTGCCTTCTTCCATCCATCTGGTACAGTTTCCGTCACTATGCTTGTATTCACTATGCGCAACAAATATCTGCCTACTACTCCAAAACTTAACTTCAAAATTTTGAGTGGCACATCTCCTTCAATGCTGGAATTTTTGTTTGGCATACTGAATATAACAGCTTTAAGATGATCTAAAGTCACAGGCGTCAGCGTGAGGGCACCGGCGTTAACACGAGGCAAGCGAACGTTGAGTTTTTCCATTCCGGAACTCCGAAAGTCTCTCATCACCTTCTCTCTGGTTTGAGTGCCGATCGACGTAAAATAACTGTTAAGTTCGTCTGAAGAGATATTGGCTGGTTCAACACGGCGACCACGTTTTGGCGCTATGACTGGTTTCAGGTGATGAAATAGTGCCGCAGGTGACGATTCGTCAACCTTTTGTTTGATACTTTCCCTTACATCTCTTCTGATGGCCCTTTTAACCTGAGCGTTGAGAGTCCTATAGGTCAGATTGTCACCGGTTGATTTTGCTAATCGTCTTTGATTCATCAGATCCAGAGTTTCATCAGATACTGGGGGAGGTGATGGGTTATTTACTTTAAACCTACGCAGTGGGGCATGCACATTCAAAATACGCGTCATTTCAGAAGAGAAAGAACTCCATTGCTGGTCGCATGAGTCATTGCTTTTTACGACACAATTCCAATCAGTGGACTGTAAGTCCGCAATGAATGCCTGTGCATCAAAAGCACGCCAGTTACGACCCGTGCGATACTGTGACGCTGTTTTGGCCCGTGGGATGATGGTTAACAACGATACGCGTTTGTGGTGCGCGGCATAATCACATACATCGACAGAGACACTTGGTGGACAGTTTGTACTACACAATGCGTCAGAAAGCATGAACACGTCTATACGAAGCATGAACACGTCTATACGAAGCAAAGTAACTAAAATGATCGCTGCGAGGCGGCGAGGAGATAAAGCAGTTCAATGCTACGCACAATCAGACATCAGAAACCTCTTTTTAACTTTGCGTTGGTTGATGAATTTATAGAAGCCGTATTACCTAATATCCTTGTAGTGCGTACCGAAATGCAGACTTACTATCCGTATGTTGAGCCAAACAAATAAACACGTTATTGCTGCATCAAACAATACGCATAAAAGTGGACACTGAATGAATTAAGCCCAACATTTTACTTAGCTGTTCTCGGTCTCGGTAAACTACGCCATACGCTTTATCTGCATTTCGTTATCCGCTTCGGGAACTCCGCTCTCGTGTCCCTGAACATCTGTTGCACAACCGGCCACCGGCGGCTCCCGGAAGGCAATCATTGTGCAAACCACCTCATAGCCATTAGTGTGACGCCAAAGACGAGACGATAATCCTCCTCCGTTTATTGCAGCAGGTCTGTAGCCATGGCCACCCAAACAACAGATACGGTTTTGGCCTTTCCACCATCACCGAAGCGCGCTCATCGCCCTATCGCTCCCTTTGAACTTGATTCTATAGCCTAGGCCTTTTTATTTCTGTCTTATTCCTAACGCAGAATTTAAGCACCTTCGGCATCAGGCATCACATTTTTCGTCTCCGGCCGGGTACTCAGGGTCGAGCGGCGGGCGCCCCTTTTAGCGTCTTTCCGTCCCGGAATCCGTCCTGTAGTGTCTTCCGCCCCGGAATCCGGCCTCTGTAGTGTCCTCCCGGACCGGAATCCGCCCGTCTCAGCCGCTTCAGAGCCGCGCCACACGCCGCCGGACGGCCGGGACGCGTCTGGTCGGCCCACGAACCGACCGCGTGCTGACTGGGACCAGTTGGGCCCGCGTCCGCCCTGATAGGCGCGCTGGAGAGGCATGTCTGTGTTACCGGGGGTATGTCGGCACATGGCAGACACGGCGGCTGGGCTGAGAGACGGCTGATGTTTGATGTATAGAGTGTTGACTGTTGGCTGCACGGGTGATAGCGCTCAGTATGTAATGATGGTGCGCGATGTGTGTGTTGACCGACGACCGTAAGTGATCCATTACGTGCAATAAAACAATCGCTAAGTCATGATTTGATGTTATTTGATCAACACGGTTTAGTTATTTTATGGCCGTTATACCTAGTTCATTTTAGCTTCGAAGTAAAAGCACAGGGAGCTTATTATGCTACGGATTACCGTCTTCCGTCCCACCTTTTTTTCGACACATCCGTTTTTCAATGTTCTGTATTTTTCCATTCATGTAGCCGCTTCTCGACTCATCATGCTCTGGGGACATTTATGGCCCGCAGTTAAAACGGACTGGAATTTGTCGTCACGGACTTCCGGTCTTCAGTGAGCTGGAGATGTTCACCGGTAGGGACGACATGGGACGGGGGCGATTCCGGATACGGTTGGCGGCACGCGAGTGTCTGTGTCGGGGTGTCAGGAAACATGGCCGAGTGTCTGTCGGTGACACCCGTCACCACCGAGACCCCCGGCAGCGACGGAAGGGAAGGGGAAGGGCGACATGAAACGTAACCGTCCGTCCGACATCTCCGGCCGAGCGAGCGTGAAGGAGCAAAAACTGACGACAGCTACTCGTATAGGAGAGGCTGAGTAGTCCGCTGATGTCTTACCGTGAAATGGAGTCATGGATGGTTAAGGGTTGGAAAAGTGATACATTTTTATTATTTAAAGCATCTTCATTTTTTTAGGGAGGCAGCAGTCACACATGAGTCATGACAGGATAGACGTGACTAGATAATAAACATCAACCACTGACCAAGGAACATGAAATAATATACAGCTCAGATATCATCTACTTCAAGACACTAACAAGAGGACAATCAGCACACTCCTAACTCAGTCATGCATGTCGTCTGCAGTCACCATCGTATCCGACTCATCACCTGTGTCTGCCTCCAGCCTGTCCTCGAGGTGTGTGGTGGACACCTGACAGTCCTGTGGCTGCGGCAGACACTGAACTCCTGCCGCCGCCCCTGTCTCACCACCCACTGTCTCTGTCACTGCCACTGTTGACGCATCTGTTGCTGACCCCGCCCCGGTTCCTCGACCTGTCCCAGCTCCAGCTCCAACAGCGGGCTCGGTCTCGGGTTTGTCCGCAGGTTCAGCTGGGTCGGAGACGCTCAAACGCTGCAGGTCGGCCAAAGATGGTACCGAGTTCTTCTTTGGACGACCCTTGGGCTTCGTGGGAGACTGCTCTCCTTTTAGTAGCACCTGTTGGAAAACGGGGAACGCACACGTTAGATGCTATGTGAACTGACCGATAGATATAACTCCGGAACATAAAGTTTGCGAAATAATTTCACATTCTTTGTGAATATTTTCGCACGGTAGGTGAACACCGCACGAGTTGAAATCTCCCGGTTTGTCTCCTTTTTGTTCTGTTTATCCGCTTCAAAGAGCATTCATCCAGCAGAGTCTTCGCAAAGTCCCAGCCGGAGCCAACCGTCCACACTCGCACACGTACACAGATCGTCCGTCAGATTGCTGTGCAGCGTCCCGTCTGAGCAGCTATTCGCAGTGCCGGAGGCGGGACATTACAGTGCGGTGGGCGGTGATGGCCTTGACTGCTTCGCCCGACAACACGAGAGCGGCCGACAGCGAGGCGGAGTGGTTTGGAAGAGGCGCAGATGTGCGTGATGATGGGACGCAGGCGACCGAGGGAGATGAATTGGAATATAAATCACCTGAGAGTTGGGACAAAGATGTCTTAAGTGGTTCTGACTTCTACGTCTACCATTCTCGCTGCAATGCAGTGTACGAATTGTTATCCTTGTTTCAAATAATTATTCGTATAACAAAGGTCGAAGTGATTCCTAAACCACACATGTGTAAATCCCGAATGGCGACCGAAGTCACGATCTCATCACTCAGCCGCCATATGTTCGATCACTGCTGCTGATAGATATAAATAGATATAAAAAGACGGTGCCGTATAGCGCCGCGCTGTTGTGCCTTGCGGCGCAGCATACCTTCAGGCGGCGGACACTAGTGACATCTATGTACGAAGGTACACAACACGATCTAGAGTGGGACGAAAACGCCTCCATGAAGGCGTTTTACATACAGCATACACGCTAAGCGCTTGGTTTGGTTTGGTTTCGTTTGGTTTGGTTGGGTTTACACTTGCCCTAAAGAAAATGCTAGTAGGCAGTTTGTCGGATAAGATGGACCGATCTGTGCGAAGCGAATTAGAGAAGTGGCTATGAACGTAAGTCAAAGACTCACCGATCTCTCAAGAGATCATTCGGGTTGAAATAAATACGGACGTCATTTAAAAGCAACAGTCTTCCTCAGTCCTAGCCCGGAAGCGCCCACCGGAAGCTCTCGGTATGTGAGGTGGTCCGACGGCGCACCGTTCCGTGTTTACCTGTGTGTGTTTCCCCGCTGCGAGGCTAATGCGTTAGTGTATCTCCGCACCCCTCCCCACTGTCACCTCACTTTAACACCGAGAGGTGGCGCACAGCTAGGTAAGCAGCAGCGGGGTATGAAACATCAGGTGGGGGAGCTCGGGGAGCCCGCCCGGGGAGGCAGCCGGCGCGGCGACTCGGCCGGCGGCGGCTGTGGAGCGGCGCTTCAGGAGCCAGCTGGTGCCACTAATGACCACAGCGGGGGGCGCTGAGCGACTGACGGGCCGAGCGGCGGGACACATCGGCTAATCGGCCGTGATCGCCGCCCGTGTCGGCTCCGTGTCGGCACCGACACACACACACGGGGGCCGCAAAAACGACACGGCGGGCTGCCGAGACGAGCCGCCACCCCCAGCGCGGCCGCTACCGTCTCCCCTCCCTTCGCTACCGCCGTCAGCGCGGTAGCGAATCATCGACAGCGCCGTCTTTGGCGACTGACGCCTGTAAGTGCACCTAATTCATAAGCACGAGTTATAAATCTTATAGCCCTTACAACAAAGAAGCACTGACGTAGTAGACGGTGCTGCTGCCGCCCCGGCTGCGTTATGGTGGTGAATACTTACATGCTGCCGATAAAATAGAAACACAATTATTTAGTTAGTTTGCTAATGTTTGTAAATTGAGCACGTTAAAAACGCATCGAAATCAGCGATCGCATGCGCCACTGACCTGTTTCTTCCACTTCATGCGCCGGTTCTGGTACCAGGTTTTGACCTGCATCTGAGTGAGCGCCAGTGATCGGGCCAGCTCCATGCGGTCGGTGGTGCTGAGGTACTTCTGGGCGGTAAACCGACGCTCCAGACCCAGCAGCTGCGGCTCTGAGTGTCAGAACGGGGCAGTGTGGGGGTCATACAGAGCGTAGGTGAGGCGACAGGAATATCTAAAAGCTGTTCAATGAGTGGGCATTAGAAAAAGAAATAAGTTTTTGCCGAAATGTCATTATTCTTCTTTACGCATGATCAGACCAGGCCCATGCACAAATTTGTAGACCGTCAAAGTTTTGGATGCCATGGCATTTTATAGATGCGTCCGAAAATTTGTGTTATGCATACATATAAATTTACTAATGTTCAAGCTTTGCATTACGATGGGATGTGTTACCAATCACAGCGTTCCCACCCCAACAATGAAACTTCATACTTCATAGCCCGCAGACCACTGCATTCCCGCTCCCATTATATCTCACCTGTGAATACGGTGCGACTGCGCCGGCCGCGTCGGCCGCCGGTACACCTGTCCCCTATCTCCTCCTGCCGGGTACGGAGGTACACTGGTACAGGTACTCCAACTGACCCCGGGTCGGGCGGGGCCGGTCCTGAGCCGGACACGGAGAGTGCTGTCGGCAGGAGAGCGGGCAACCGGTCATATTGCGGCTGAACACTGAATAACCTAAGTTAGACGCGTTAAATGACACTGCCCTGGTCGAGATGATAGTAATTTACCATCATTTCTGCGATTTTTTGCAGATAGTTGCTTATAATTACTAAATTCTGTATTTTGAGCTTTTTTAAGATGTTTGTGATGAAATTTTGGAAATGCTTTATCTATTGTTGAATAAATGTATTATGTTCTTTATGAAGATCTAAGAGTCCCATTTGTATCCCAAACGATACCGAACGATACCTAATGATAAGCCGACTTAAAATGCATCTCGGACAGTTATGCAACTGCAAAACTGTATGCAGAGCGTTACAACTGCGTGCCATGGTAAAATGCAAGATCTTCAAAACGCTTTTTCAGCGTGCACTTTACGAAGCGACAAGGCCGATAGGCCTAGTTATTATCTTTTGATCTCTGTAAGCAGCCTGACAATAGTAACCAGTAAAACGCCTTTTGGGCGAAGAACGAGCGAGCGAGATAGTGAGCCCTGCACGTGCAGAAGGGCGAGAGGGTACTTCCAACGGGCTTGTGCAAAGCACCCTTCTAACCGGTCGCTAGCGTTGTACCAAATTTGAACGCAATCGGTCCAGCCGTTCCTGAGATCTGGAAGCGGCATTCTGCACGTGCGCACGTGCAAACGGGGTCCAAACTGACTTTTGCACGGCACCCTACTAACCGGTCCCCAACCGTGTACCAAATTTGAGCGCGATCGGCCCAGCCGTTCTTGAGATCTGGAAACGCCCCCTGCACGTGCGCACGTGCAGTAGCACCCTAACCGCAACACATGGGAATGCATTCCCTGGTGGGTGCCATACCTGTATGCCAAGTTTCAGCGAAATCGCCCCAGTAATTACCGAGTTACTGAAATGGGAACAAATTTGGCACCTCTTATTGTTGTATTTTGCACGTGCAGTGGGGGTCACTGACATAGATGAAGAGTATCCGACCTTTGGTAGAAGGGATGCAGCTACCCTATAAAAATGACCGCAAGACAATCGCTCAAGCCGCTGCTGAGATATGGGCCTCTCAAAATCATTACTTTTGCAAAACTGCTTGAACACCCTTGACTTTTCACGTGGCACGTGCCACCGCGGTCACTGAGATGTATCAAAAGTAGTCAATTACGGGGTAGAAGGGATGGGGCTACCCAGCAAAAAAGGCCGCAGGCCATTCGGTCCAGCGGTTGCTGAGATATAAGCCTCTCAAAAGCGTTACAGGCCGGGCCGGGCCGGGCCGGGCCGGGCCGCTCATACTGAGATTTTTCCGTTATATTGAAAAGACTTCGCTTCGCTCGCTGCGCTCGCTCGCTCGTAATTAGTAATGCCCATTCAATGTCTTTTTAACTATGAAGTGAACATTTCGGCATCTGTCGGTATTTAGGCCGCCGAATCAGTATCTGCCAGTGCAGAGCTCAGCTCAAGGGAAAAGACTGAATAACATCGTTCCATTCAAACGGTGTGAATCTCATGTTAACGTTATTTACGCATAGGGAACTTACTTTCGGTCACTCTTATTTTGCTTATTTCCGGCATATTTGATTCGACATTTTTCGGTCATGCTTTGATATTTGTTGTACCTACTGATTAAAGCGTTCCCGCCACTTTCGACCAGAATCAATAGCGCACATTCGGGATATAACATTAATTTGGTATATTTGTGTAAATGTTAGCATAAACATGGCAAACTTTTGAATTTGCTTTCTATCAAAGCACAAGGAACCGGTGTCACCGGTATCATCGGTGAACCGGGCGCGGGCAAGGCGTGGTCTGTGGTGTCATTCACAACAAGCACTGCTTAGCGGGGCACCCGGGCCCATAGCCACCCATTCAGCATTCATCCATTCGGACAAAATTTCTTTTAAAAAAAAAGAAGAATAAATCCATCAAACCAAAGCCACTACACTGCTTTCGAGTTTGGGTCTCTCTTATTCCAGGCCCAAAATGGATTTTAGGCACCGTTTGGACTTTTCCAATTTGCTTACCTCAATGCTCCCATCTACCGCTCCGTACCTTCGTGTAGCTGATATGTGCCAGTGAATAGGCGGAGTGCGAAGAGATCGATACAGGAGGGACAGAGCAGTCGCCTTTTAACGCACTCATTCGAACACTTGAGTGCAGCTATTACCTATTACAAATGTTGGATCAAAGAGAAGGCACACAATCTTTGCAAACAACATTGACCACCGAAACCGTAGAACAGAGTAAACACAAAATAAGCAGATGCTTCAAGGAAAAGACATTGGTTAATATTCATCTTCATCGTCTACCATAGTTATTTCGGAGTGTTTCTTTTGCTGTTCCTTTCGGCTCAAAGATTGAGCCGACCGGGAGCATTCCGTCTCAAGATTATTTACTTCTTTTGTTAATGGCGTTGTGTCTTTATTAGCCCGTGGTGTGTTCGGTGAATTGTCCAGGCCGGTGAGTGTGAGATTTGTCGGTTACCTGAAGCGGAGGAAGAAGCGGGCCTTCTCGATCTTGTAGCGTCTGTGAGTCTTTTGCCTATAGTCTGGGCTACTTTGGACCAGTTACCTACCTGGTCTGACGCTATGGATGTAGCGGTTTACCTGTTCTGACGGTTGGAGTCGGCGGCCGGCAGTCGCGCAGTCGGGTCTGCAGCAGACCCTGCCACCTCTCCAGATACAGCTGAGGGACGCACAGCAGCGGTCCGGGCCAGGGGAGCAGCGGCCCCGCCGGCAGCTCCGCGCGGGGAAACCACTGGACCGGAGCGGCCGGCCGCTCCTGTCGGGTGGACACCGGCAGACGGACGGCACCTTCACCTCCCAGCACACCACCCAGGCCGGGCGGCAGGGTCAGGACACTGGCGGCATGTCCAGCACTTCCCACTGCACCGCCAATACCACTGAGCCTGCCTTCCACAGAAACACCGCGCGCCGGAGACTCCGAGGGACTCGGTGCAGGGCTTCTGCACGTGCCATCAGTCACCACACCGCGCCTAAAGTCCTCTGAGCGCACTGCGCGAGCCGCGCTCACTGACTCTGTCGCACTGTCATCCTCACTGTCCCCGAGGATGTCTCGGATTAGGAAGGACTTTGGGGCGGTCGAGTCGTGCCGCCGCCGGCCCGTATCGCCCGGGTGGCCGAATTCCCCGCGGCCTCCTCCTGTCGGGTCCATTGGCGCACCTCGACAGGGGCTGAGTGCCGTGCCCTGGGGCGTCGCCGGCGGCGAGGGGCCCGTGCAGCCATGTTTTCTGAGTGTGGGTGGTCCGGAGTCGCAGAGACCAATCAGAAGGCGGCTCAGACGGCAGAACGCAGCTCCTGCTCGCAAGATGGCCGCCCGACAGGGCCCAACTGGCGGCTCCCCGAATTTGTTTGACGTGTGCGAGGCGCTGCTGAAAGCTGGAGATGTGTCTCTAATTAGCCTGTGAAGGCGGTGACGCCTAATGAGTTGATGGCCTGTTTGTTCAGCGGTAAAAACGACGGGTTACCGGAGAAGTGTTTTACGGTCATCATACGGCTGGCGAGGCGCACATGTGGGCTCGGATCATCGCGGTCGGGTAGGCGGGCCTGTCCGTGTCGGCGACTGACGGGTGGCACGGAGAACAGACCAAAGACTCGCCGCTCTGACACAGGGGCAGACCGAGGGCTGCCGGGCTCCCACTGCTGACCCGCCCCTCGTACAAAGTGGACTTTGGTGTAGCAGCATCTTGTAGCAAACGAATCAAACAATCGTGCTGTCACTGAGGTGAAGTGAGCTGTCTTAGCGGCGGGTGGATGTTTTACGTCGGATGACAAGCGAAACACAAATAACTACGAGAAAGCGGGATATTTTAGACGCGATGTTTCAAGCTGGATGAGCTGTGTGGGCATTAGCACGCCAAGTACATATCCTAAATTTGGCATTTCTCATTGTTTTCTCTCATGCCTCTCGGCTCTCATGACCCGTTTAATTCGGTCTAATGAGCACGGGTCACCAGACTTGTGTACCGCCACTAGTGCCGCCCTGGACCACCGTCCATCGTCCGATGTCAGCGTCTCTAGTAGGATGTCGGTGTCTCTCACCCCAGGTCACCGTCTTTAGCCTGATGTCACCGTCTCTGATTCGATGCCACCGTTTTTACTCAGTGATGTCAGGTCTCCCTAAATGAAATGGTGTCCGTAACGGAGGGTCAGTCACACTCTCAGTCTGATTCCCCACATTGCCTGTAACATGCATAAGATCTTTATGTCTTGAACAGTTTGCAATGTTTGATGCTCATTGTTGTAGATCGGCCTTTCGCGTTTAGCACCCATACCACCAGACAAATGAAAATGATAGGATCATTTGAATCGCCGTTTAAATAGGTATCAGACGAAACAAATCATTGTAAAAAGAGAGGAAAGGTGACAGTGAAAAGGTAAACATCTTGTGCTCCGGTGGATGGATGGGGTAGTTTTCAGAGGCGCTGCGGTCGACAACATGACAGCCGGTCTATAGTTTTCCATTTTTATAGTACAATTATTCGTATACGAATGTACTTCACTCGTATAGAAATGTAGGCACGTTAGAGCATTTCAAAAACGCATTTCGCATTTCCCTTGGTTGCTTCAAGCATTTTTTGAATTACATTGCTTTTGAAATAGTTCATTTATCTATCTTTAGCTGGTGCGGTTATTGCATGTTGCATGGAGTTGTATGGAATTGCATGAACGTATGGACTTTTGTTGAATAACGTGACACATTATGTGATTGGATGTGATGTTTGCTGAATGGTGCCCGATCGGACGGAAAATAAGCATACAGAAATTACACCGTTTAACCCTCGCCGCACATGCCATTTTCCCATCCTAAAACGCACATGGGTGGGGGGTGGTTGCCACCCCCCCCCCGCGCCATTTCGTTCCTGTTGGAGATAGAGCTTAGCAGTAAAGACCAAAAAGATTCTTTGGGAAGAGACAAATCCAATGATACCCAGTTTTACCTTCTCAGGTCAGTCATTGACCTTCCAGGTCAGGTCAAACTAAAAAATGTTGCTGTTTTGGGTCACCGTTGGATATCAAGTGCGCTGCTTATCAAATACCGATGACGATGCTGTTTTCTGGTGCCAAGCCAGCTAGAACCTCTTTGTCACACTATCCGACCAGAATTTTGCTGCTGAGGTCATTTCAGGTCAAATTAGGTCAAGGTCAATTACATGTGTTTGTATGTCTGTGTGTTTGTGTGTATACTGATGTGTGCACCGATTGTTTTTGGGTCCATATCACATGAAATCATGATCTGAGAAGCTTTTACCAAAAATGCAGTCAAAAAACTTCACAAAAAGTAAATTCAGCTTGCCTAAAACGCAATTATCTTAGATGACCTAGGTTGACCTTGACCCTGACCTTGACCCCTGTACATCATCGAACAACATGTTCCATGATAGGTGGGAGGTAAGACTGGCAAAAAAGGCCGAAATCAGGGTGTCAAAAGCTCACAAGGCCCATGGCAAACGCAAGATGTTGAGAATTGGCCATTTGGGTCATGACATGACCTGAAAAACAAGGTCATATCTCCGAAACCAAAAATCACAGAAACTTGAAATTTTTAGTGGACATCAAAATAGGATAGACGAGCAGCTATACGAAAAATCAGCCTCCTAGCTCTGAAAATGTTGAGTGCAGAGCAGAAAGACTGCCTGGGGGGGGGGGGGGTGGCAACCCCCCCCCCATGTGCAGGCGAGGGTTAAAAAGTGTTCATTTGTGGGGATAAATGACAGTGTGGGAAGACCTGAGGCAATCATGGTGCTCTTATACGTATTTTGAGGCCAGCGTGGGTTTCTCAGAAGTCAGATGACGAGAAGGCATGGTGGAACCTCCAAAGGCAAATTGTTATCTTGAAAGGCGGGCGTGGGATATTTTACTTCCAACCTTCCATTTTGCTTCCAATCTAAGAATGAGCGTTCCCCGACCACCCTCTTAGAATGGGTACCAAAACAGCGTGATCTTTCGGTGATACTTATTGCGCTTCATGCACCCATGACGGATGACCAGAGACCATCTGATGAGGTGGTTTCTCTGGACCTCGTAAGCACATTGCGCGTCACCTATGTCGGCTTACAGCGCCACCTTCGGGCTCCTGAATGAACAGGATGACGCAACATATTAGCCCAGAGGTACATCTTTTTCGGCCAAATATAGAAATAGTGCACACAGTTTAACCCTCGCATGTGTGCGGCGTTTGCCAGCTTCTAACGTGTAGGGGGGGGGGGGGGGGGTGTTGGACCCTCCCTTGCCGTTTGGCCCCTGATCGAGCTCGAGCTTCGCGGAAAAACAAGCCTGTTGCCCGTGACGAGAGGAAGCCGATGCTACCCAATTTTAAGGTCCTAGGTCATTGGTTGACCTTCCAGGTCAGGTCAATGACCCAAGAGTCGGGAAAATCGGGACCTGTTAGAAAGTCGTAAAGTGTGGCTGCTATGCAGTTTTTCGGGGTGCTGATCACGAATATCGTGTTTGTTTTGATCACAGATGATGTCTTTAAGCATTTAGACCAGGTCGGGTCAGGTCAGGTCAGGTCAACCAATAGCGGTCGTGATGGGTATTCGTAGTACGTGTCAACCGCCTCTGGCAGCTTCGTAACATGTTACAAAGGCACCAAAACTACTTCGTAAATGTTTAAATGGTTTCTAAATTCAAATTCAGCTCCAAAAACTAGCCTAGAAACATGTAAAACTCGAAAAAATGAACCGAGGTCACCAAAGGTCAACGACCTGACCTGACCTTCAGGTGACCTTGACATCCACCCTATTGCATGGGAGCAACACCAAATCACGTGCTTGAACGTTTGAAACCACGAAAAGCTTGCAAACTCGCGGCTAATGCGAGCCGACATACGCCGAATGCGTATTTACAAATTGCAACCGAGCTCCGCCGTAGGGTATTTTATTTCCGCCGTAGTGTATTTCACTTAGGGGATTTTCTACCATAATCTGCCTGAGCTTAGGGTAATTACAATTTGTCGGCGACGTTCGAAAATGATGCACCTTTTTCGCAGTATGGGATATCGCATATGCATATTTCTGCATTTTCGGGTGCGCTTTATCGGTTTTTCGTGAGTAACTCGCGTAAAAACCGTCCGATCGCGACGAAACTTTCAATACCCCCGATTTTTATCAATTTTACACCTACCCTGAAAATTTCATGACCCTGACCCAAATGACCTTTGACCTGTGACCTATTTCTCGAGACCATGTTTGGCCCGAATCGCGATTCGGCGTATGTCGGCTCGCATTAGCCGCGCGGTTGCAGTTTTCACGTGGTTTCAAGCGTTGAAACATGTGATATGATGCTGGTCCCATGCATTAGAGTGGGTGTTAAGGTCACCTGGAAGGTCAGGTCAGCTCAATGACCTTTGATGACCTCGGTTCACTTTTTCGAGTTTTACATGTTTCTAGGCTAGTTTTTGGAGCTGATTTCGAATTTAGCAACCATTTGAACATCACAGCGGGTGTAACGAAATTATCCAGACACCTTTCTTCCCGCTGTAAAAGCAAAACAATCTGGTACTTTTTCTTTTAACTGAGCTTGTAGTCACCTTTCATAAAAACACAGTTTACTCACCTCGTTGGTTTCTGCATATCTTTGGAGTGGTTTCAAAGGACAGTCAGAGAGGAAATGAGGAACCCACACAGTGGCGAATGTTCTGGAGCATTTCAGCCAATGGATTCTCCAGCACACTGGCTTTGATGCGGACCAACGCCGTCTAGACCTGTGCCTGCGGTTGAGCAGTGCTTATGGCGGGTGGCTCTTCATACACCTCCTGCTGAACAAGAGCCCACAGGTTTTCGATTGAATTGGGATCGCGACTTTTTCCAAGTCATAAGCGTTAGCCCAGAATGATTGAAGGTTCTATCGGCATCACTTCCCGTTCTTTTAGGGACTTTTAGGGACTTTCCCGTTCTTTTAGCGCGCCGCCACGCATGAAGACAGCGTGGCTTGAATCAGGCATCAGTGCGCGTTCAGAAACCGTGCCCTCCTATGCCGTCTGGTTGAGCGCCTCCAATCATGCTCCACCACCTTCCCTTCCCTGGAAAAGCTCCACCCTTGCCTATGGGACAAAATATAAGGGACAAAAACACAAAACAAGACAGATAAAAACAAAGCAAAATTAACCCATTTATGCCCAGGAATATTGACCATCATGAAAATCGACGAAAT